GAACCTTACGCCCGTAGGCCGCACTGTAACACCATAAAGGTGTTTAGTTGTGTTTTATTTAATATTTTACATACGACGTGAGACAGCCAGACAGGATTTGAGGTGCCAGATTGTTGGCCTGTGGCAATTAAAAAATCACACCTCTAGTGTTAATGACCACAAGTTGACCAGGGGTCAGGTCGTGTGAACTGACCTTGCTTCTGCTAAGCTGATGACCAGGCCACACACTAGAATATGAAGGGAATACGACGTTTCGGTCCGTCCTGGACCATTCTCAAATCGATTGTGAATGACGACTTGAGAATGGTCCAGGACGGACCGAAACGTCGTCGTCCCTTCACCTTCTAGTGTGTGGCCTGGTCATCAGCTTAGCAGAAGCAAGGTCAGTTCACACGACCTGACCCCTGGTCAACTTGTGGTCATTAACACTCTAGAGGTGTGGTTTTTTAATTGCCACAGGCCAACAATCTGGCACCTCAAATCCTGTCTGGCTGTCTCATGCCGGTTGTAAAATATTAAATAAAAAACAACACCTTTATGGTCTGGTCAATATATTTCAGCCACGTTATTGTGACTCTTTATCTGCTAACCTGATAATTGCAGACGGCTGGCTGGGTTGGGCCCATCAAACAAGCCGCTGTTTAAGGTTTGGTAGGTGTAGGTAGAGAGGTAAAGAGCCTTAGGCTATCTTACTTGTGGGTGGAGTTTAGCTTCCAGGTCCTCCCATTGTCGGAAAATCCGACACCATTTAATATAACATACAGACAGATAATAATTGCTGTATTGTATAAACAAGTTAACCCATAGAAAACGTAACTTGTAGTGGAATTACCGTCTATAGAAAACGGGATATCATCACCACATACTATTATAAATTCACCAGCTATTCTGCTGGGAATTATTCTTAAATACATTAGTCTTTGGACTTTACCATCATAAAACATTTCATATAAATTAACTTAATTATCAATATTAAAGTAGAGTAAATGTGACCCTTCTATCACTTACTGTCATCTGGACAATGTAGCCAGACGTCAGTGAGGAAGGAGGGGCAGCCATTGTTATACTAGACCACAGAGGCTCACAGGAGCAAATTCGGCTCCTGTTAATTTTACTTGGACGAAGTGTTATGGAAACCAAAGGTGTACCATTATCAACACGCTGTCAACAAATCAAGTTAAGTGTTCTTCCGAAACCCATGTATCTTTCATTTATGGCCATTAATGTCATTATATAGGGTGAGCCTGTTAGAGCACGTGGTAGCCTCAAACTAAAGGTAATTAAGCCAGGTCTTCATTGTTCCATGTACAGTGTTTCTCTGATATACCTGTCATATATAGGATTCTGGCTTTACAGTTAGCGCCCTTTTGACAGGTCAAGACAAGGAAGCATGCTTTGTGCATCAGTTACCAGGGTGATGGAAGCTACCTCAAAGAGGGAAAATGTGGTGTCTGCACCCTAGTTTTACCTGGTGGACTAAGGCCTGCTGTACTATAAGATAAGGAACCTTTTCAATGTATGTAGTCTAATACTGTAGTTTGATTGGCTGCATATATATTCAATTAATATAAACCCCCCCAAATGTGTAGAGGATCGATTTGTGAGATTATGAGATTATTGCAGAAATACAGTCCACTTATCATTATACAAATTGCTATCGAAGTATATAAATTAACGTAAATATATATTCATATAAATTAAATAAATATAAATCTCACAGGTCGGTTCCCACACCCATAAATACTCAGGGAACTTTACATTCGAGAGAACAGACAGATCAGACACACAAGATTGAGCAGCCGCGAGAATTAGATCGCTGGCCTGAGGCTTCAGCCACCAGACTTTTTTTTTTGAGATATATACAAGAGTTGTTACATTCTTGTACAGCCACTAGTAAGCGTAGCGTTTCGGGCAGGTCCCTGGAATACGATCCCCGCCGCGAAGAATCGTTGTTACAACCAAGTACACATTTTACTGTTGAGTTAAACAGAGGCTACAGTTAAAGATTTGCGCCCAGTAAATCCTCCCCGGCCAGGATACGAACCCATGACAAAGCGCTCGTGGAACGCCAGGCGAGTGTCTTACCACTACACCACAGAGACTGGTTCTTAGTTTCAGTCCTTGTTGAGTTTGAACGTTAAGGTGACTTATCTCCTTTTTCCAAACTTAAGGTGGTGTGTGTATCAGGGGCAGACAGCCGTAGTGGTCTCAATGTCATGTTACCTGGTTGATACCTGGTTGATGGGGTTCTGGGAGTTCTTCTACTCCCCAAGCCCGGCCCGAGGCCAGGCTTGACTTGTGAGAATTTGATCCACTAGGCTGTTGCTTGGAGCGGCCCGCAGGCCCACATACCCACCACAGCCCGGTTGGTCCGGCACTCCTTGGAGGAATAAATCTAGTTTCCTCTTGAAAATGTCCACGGTTGTTCCGGCAATATTTCTTATGCTTGCTGGGAGGACGTTGAACAACCGCGGACCTCTGATGTTTATACAGTGTTCTCTGATTGTGCCCATGGCACCTCTGCTCTTCACTGGTTCTATTCTACATTTTCTTCCATATCATTCGCTCCAGTATGTTATTTTTCTGTGTAGATTTGGTACTTGGCCCTCCAGTATCTTCCAGGTGTATATTATTTTATATCTCTCTCGTCTCCTTTCTGGTGAGTACATTTGGAGAGCTTTGAGACGATCCCAATAATTTAGGTGCTTTATTGCGTCTATGCGTGCCGTATATGTTCTCTGTATTCCCTCTATTTCAGCAATCTCTCCTGCTCTGAAGGGGGAAGTGAGTACTGAACAGTACCTGTGTGGTGACTCACATTGTTTATTAATCTGGATATTGTGAACATTAAGTTAAATTGCCTGAATTATGATACTTCTCATATTAAATATAATTGATGACTTTATTGTTTAAATTGTCTTTGTGTTCCCTACACCTTTGGATTTTCTGATATATTGCAAGTTAGAGTGTAGAGCACTCAGAGTTCACTGACTTAAAGAGAATGAGTACATCCTTACAGCAAATACATTTGATTCATGCTAAAGTAACATTTGATAACAACTTCAGACAAGTTCAATTCCTTGTCTTGTATGTAATGAACTAGAATAGATGGTGGCAGCCCCTTCTACGTCTACTATCTACTCCTCTCCATGTTCTCTCTACCTCCCTCCGCCTCTTTTCAAACTTTCCCTTTCACCTGTCCACTCCTCGCTACTCCCAGACTCCGTCCCTGACTCCCCCCACCTCCCTCCTACCCCTCTACCTCCCTCACACCCAAACCCTCGCTCATTACTTCAGTATTATTCATTTTATTTTCATTATATATTCCGATACGTTACACCACCGCCAAAAGGCACCCCACGCCCGGGGGCCGCACCCCCCACCGCCCGGGGGCTGCACCCCCACCGCCCGGGGGCTGCACCCCCACGCCCGGGGGCCGCACCCCCACGCCCGGGGGCCGCACCCCCACGCCCGGGGGCCGCACCACACTTGCCCTTGGACATCATACCTTCGCTCAAGGTCGAAACTGTTTTGTAAATAACTGATAACATTTGCTTCATTCGTTAATTCTGACGATACCTTGTAGTGGCTGTCAACCGGGAGAGGTAGGAGGTGCAGGTGGGCAAGGATGTGGGGGGGGACGGTGGTGCAGGTGGGCAAGGATGTGGGGGGCGGCGGTGGTGCAGGTGGGCAGGCAGATGTGCAGGTGGGCAAGGATGTGGTGGGGACGGCGGTACAGGTGGGCAATGATGTGGGCCGGACACAGGAAGGTCATATATGCGACACCACACCTGCCACTGCCCACTCATGCGTCTCCCTTTACCAGATGATGACAAAGGACCAGTCATCACAGCCTCCTCCTACACCTGCCCAAACACCTCCACCACACCTCGTATACTACACCCAGACGAAGACAAAAATAAGATATACTTCTCATCTGACTTCAACCTAACCTTATTAAGGTCAATACATATGACCACCCGGTAACATTTGAACCAAGTTTCATAATGTTTAGTACATAGTGGAGGAGGAGGACGGGATAACAATGACATACATTACCCCCGTCATCAATACCAACCATACACAGCCTTGAGACGTGCACAGCCTTCCCATAAGGAGGCTTTTAAAGACGACAGTCTTAGCTCCTCGCGTCTTCCAGCCATACCTGACGTAAGCCATGACAAAAACAATATATATATATATATAGGTTAAGTCACTCAAGAGGATATTAGAGACGGCCACGGCATATAGCTCCTTCATGCGGTGCTTGAGATGTTTTACTTGGGCCGGAAATGATAAAATATATGGAAGGTGTTGGAGGAGCTGCCCGGCCTGGGCCGCCCCTCCAGAGACTTGGATGCTTCCCTTAATATGGTGGGCCGTGCCCCAGAGCCTTGCCTAAGGGTTCCTCTTACCTTTCCTTCCTGGTGCGCACCTCACCCAATATATATATACACTACACCAACCACTTCTTGCACATTTTGGAGCTTTGGATTTTCATCCCTTTATTATTTATGTACCCGAGAAAAGTAGTGTATAAAGAACAAAAACTACTTGTCACCTGCACGCATCTTTCCATCACTTGTCGGCTCGTCACTAGTAACAATATTATTTAATTTTGAGTTTTTAATGAATTCACACCTAAATTTGGATTTGCCTTACCATGTTATGATAAAGAGACTAACAGAGCGCCGGGAGCGTACATGAGAGCCTCCAGCGACACCCCCTCACCTCACAACGCTCACGGCAACACTGACTCCCTGACGAGTCATACGGGACACCGCGTTTTCTATACACTAATGCATAGAAAACGAACTGCAGCAGTAAAATGTAAATACTTTCACTTTCGATCTATAATATTTGGTTTACCTGTTGGTATCTGTTCTTAATAGCTGTGGTGGAGACAGTTGCCCTGGAAGCAATAAAGGCTTGTAAAGGATTCTGATGTTAGTATCTTATGCATGCCTACGAGGAACTAACTACGTGCTACATCCTGAGCACGGGAAAGCTTACCAGAACGTACACCTATCTCAGGCGCTCAACCTCATTTGTTTAGGTTAGTATATTGCAGCATTGACAAGTTAGTCACAGAGTTTGTTAACAGTTAACATATACATTGATATATTTGCGAAGTTAGCTTAATTAAAAGGTTTATTAAAACTCTTAAGCATGATATGTGCATAGACTTGCCTATTCCATGGGCTTAGCCAGAATTGGGTCAGTTGCACAATAATTATATTATACAGGGTTCAGCAACTGGGTCCAATTTGTTGCTCTCTGAGCTAAGAAAATTCATATTGGTGAACAACACTTGACACTATCAATTCCTTTAAGTAACTTAACCTCAAAAGTACTATGCTTACACTGACGGGTCTGTTCAAATGTCAAGAGGGCGCACTGCAGCAGCCTGATGTAGTCAAGCACCAGCACTATGTCTGTGAGTGCCCTGATATCAATAATTTCATACCAAATGGTTTAATGTACTGTAAGCTCTAAAACTTCATACATTAACGAATATATTAAGATATTCTTGTGCTCTACCCATAGTTTGCTAATGCAGGCTAGTAGATTAATTAGACTCGAGCCCATTGTTGATGTGACGATGTGCATTGAATTTTGCTCATCAAGATTGTAACTTGCTTAGCAAAATGAATTCTGGGGTTCAGTCCCTGAGCCCATTATGTGCCTCTATAACCCCTTCCACTACCGCCCACAAGATGGGAATGGGGGGTGCATAATAAATGAACTAAACTAAACTAGCCTCGCATCTCATGTTTTCCTCGGATTCTCCTGTATGACTAATCATCCTGTGATCGTGATTAGATGATCTCACGGTCGGTTTCTGATCTACGCTGTAATGCTTCATATAGAATAGGGCAGCACCACATTGCTGTGTATGCCTAAGACTATTAATAAAATATGTTAAACGACAAAATTAGATTCATTTAAAATATGTTTGAATTTTTTTTCGCTAAACGAGCAAATTTCTTCATTCCACCACATTATAATTAGATACGTTTTTTATAAAACTGGTGTTTATTAATTCATAATAGAAAATATGCCCTTTATAATCTGTCAAAATTATTTTAATAACTCATACAAAAAATATCCTACACAACGCAAAATACTTGAGTGACATATCATACAACTTAATACTAAAATTTGGCTAAAATTCTTTTCGAAAATTCTTTACCATTAATAGGCAATTTAATTGTACATAAATCCGAGCTAGTGGCTTTCTTCTTGAGAGTAGGTGCAGTTTGCATGAAGGGTTTACCCTCCCGATAACTGCACCAGGTCAGATGTTGGGAGACGCGGTGACGTTGAGGAGAAGAAAGTAAAAAATGTTAGTCGTGCCGGGCCGTAGAGAGAGGAGTGGCGACGAAAACAGGTGGACGTGAGAGGGAGACTCGCCGCACCGTAGGGCGGGATGTCGAGTTCACGGCGGCAGTTGATCCACGCACAGCGTAGCGTTGTACTCAAGACGTCAACTAATATTTCTTAGGGAACTTGTATATCGGAAACCGCAAGCAGTACGCTTCCCAAATCACCCACGAGTCAAAGGATAGCCGGCAACTAGGTAGTGCCTTCGGCTGAGACATCTTATCCGGCACCCTATAAACAAACTCCTTCACCCGCGACACCCAGACAGTGGATGAGCACCTCGGGATCGGAAGCACCCGGGCATCCTGATAAAGGCCCAACACCTGACCCTCACAGGTCACGACCCCGGCAGCCCGGACTAGGCTTCCCCCAGACCGGGGCAACGGAGGGGGAACCGCAGGGGATGCAGGCGCGGCATCGACCCCGCCACTGGGCACAGGAGCCGAGGCCCCCCGGCGCACATCTTTCCGCAACACCCCGACGAGGTCCCGATCATCAGCCCCCCCCCCCCAATGCGGGGATCCAACAGCAGGAGACGCAGGGGGAGGGGCACAGGTAGCAACTCTGAGCCCCTCACAGCATGGACATCCGCGGGGGACGCCAGAGCACCATACTCCCCACCATCTCCCAAGGCACATCACGAAGGGGAGACACACTTCGAGCCCGCCACGGACGCTTCGAGACAGGCCGCACCACACCACCCCCATCAGGCCCCTCCGCAGGCACGGAAATCTTCACAGGCCACACCCGCACGTCCGAAGAGTCCGCATCATCCAGGGAAACAGCCCCAGAACACCGACTCGCACGCTTCTGCAAAGGGATGGAAGTAGCAGAACTACAGTCGCCAACACACACAGGCACGGCAGGCACCTCCCCCTGCCGAAGTCCCCCCTCCAAAACAGCAGAACCCGCGACACCCGGGAGCCGGTACCACATCCACAGGCGGAGCAGCAAACAGGCAATCAGCCGCCTTAGGCACAGTACCCACTTCGTCCTCAGAACCGTCCGAACGCAACAGGGGCGGAAAATCCTCCGCACGAAAAACATGCACCCTACCAGTCGCTCCCATGTTGCACGCCTCAGCCAGATGACCCTCGTGACCACACCTATAACAGGTGTGCGCGCCTGCGCGGTTGCCCCCCCCCCCCCCTCGATACAGGCAGCGGAGCGTGTAACCTAACACGGACATCGACGACGGGACATTACACTTCAGCGACATCGTCAGGGTGCGGGAGCCGTCTAGCATACCAGCCCGGCAAGGACCTTGTCCCAACGAATACTTAACACTGTCCCAAATTGTTCAAAACAGGAGGTTAAAAAGTAGTCCTGAAATTCGAAGGGGGCACCATGCACCGCCGCAGACGTCAAGGTGACACTAAGATTCACCACCTTAACAGAACCAACAGTATCAGGGAGAGGGTAAACATGCCCCTCACACCGCTCCAGAATCGCCTGAAAGGCAGCCTGGAGATGGAACTTGACCACAGCACGGTTGCCCTGAAGCACATGGACGTCCACTAGGTCCGACAGCTGCACTTGTAGCACGTCCACCGGCACCGTAAATGCCAGACCAGCCGACAATGCCCTCCTCACTGGAGGGCGAGAAGTCCCCAAGCCAAACGTCACCCTGTCACTGGCAAACCACCACCAGTAGGGCAAACAAGCAATCACCCAACGTAAACACTAGCCAGGAGCGTCCGACCTGGCCGGCGGTCACCATGCAATTTTACAAGAATGCGAAAACTCTTGTATAAATAAATAAACAAATATTGATATTCAATTTGACGAGATTGGCAGCAGCTCTGCTCAGGGAGTTGGCATATATACATAAGTATACATTCTGCCTGCTGGTGCATTAGCAGCAGTTGGTCATAGACTTCAGAATGGTCCAGGACGGCCCGAAACGTCGTTGTCCTTTCACTTTCTAGTGTGTGGTCTGGTCAACATACTTCAGCCACGTTATTGTGACTCAGCGCCTGCAGTTGGTCATCTGCTGACGGCACCAAATAGTTTGCGTCGAGGCAGTGTTTGTAGAGTCTCACGAGTCAAAAATTGCTGACAACAATGTAGAGAAACACTAAGTAGGTTTAATTTTTTATTTGTCGATAACGTTTCGCTTGTAAGAGGTTTATCTAAATCTGATTTGATAACGCCTTGAGCGACGCCACGCGGCCCAGTAACCTCGGGTGAAAATATTCTGTCTATACTCGATTATCCGGACTATACGGGAAGGACCCCGGTCGAATAATCACGTGTTCCGGATAATGACACTTTTTCACCTCAGAGTCCAAAACTAACCATTTCCAATTATTTTTATACTACAAACAACATAATTTGAATTGCCTTGCCACATATAATTATTAAATATTCAACTAGAAACCTCAACTTACCTTGTTGTTGTTCGTCTTCTTGATTGATGCCACACATCTTGAAGTTAAAAATTCTTGACAATTTACGTAACCTATACTAACACAAACTAAAATTAACACTTAAAATTACTGTACAGTTCATTAAGCAAAGTTAGTTTTGACTGCCAGCTGCGGAAGCCTCACTGGTTAAAGGCATTTGGCTTGACTTTCGTACTATATAAGAATCAAGTGTAGCTTGTCTTCTGTGTTCATTGGAATATAAATTATTTGACAAAATGTTTGCTCTTAATTTCTGTTTAAATGGTTCTACACTGCTTTCATCTGCACTCAATTTTTCACCGACAATTTTTCTCTTCACAATATTGTGCCGACCTTTGAATCTTGCAACCCACCCTTCACTGGCTTGGAAATCCTTTATTCCAAGGCTTGCTGCAAACCTGCTTGCAGCATTTTGTATTTCTGGGCCGCGAATTGTCACGCCAGCTGCGCGGTGCTGAGCAAACCACTTGTACACAGCCTCATCCAGCTGTACATGCGTCGAAGTTTTCATAGTTTTTCTACCACACCCTCTGCTAGTGCTTGCACCTTCACAGGTTGAAATGTATTTCAGAATTTTCTCTTTTTGTTTCCTTATATCAGAAACAGTACTAGTGCCTATATTAAATTCCTTGGCAACATTGACCGGCCATTTTCACAAAGTTGTATAACACGTAGCTTGTCCTTAATTGTTAGGACAACCTTCTTCCTCTTAACACCTCCAGAACGATTGATCCTGCTACCAGACATAGTCTTGGCCAAAAATGTTCAAAGTTACTATCAAAATAAAAAAAGTTATTTGAAAAAATATTTCACTAATGACGCGGCACTACGGTATAACACGAGGGACGAGAGCACATGGCTTGACCAGGCCTGGACGGTCCACTTGGGGCAAGGAAGCACGTTACGTAGGCCGGCAGCAGAAAAAAAAAAATTTTTTTTGAAGGAAATTTCAGCCTGTGCAAATTGTTTTTAAGAAACTTGTATAATATTTTCTACTACATAATTACTAGTATTTCATTTGTTTTTGGCTATGATCAATTGTTCTAAAATTATTGGTAATTCCTGTACTTTAGTGTATAGGCCGCTCCACATCCCCCTTATCCCCCCAGGAGGTCCCATCCAGCGATCCCCTCTCCCCCTACACCACCCACCCCACCCTCTCCCCCACCATGCGCCTCAAGCCACAGCCAGCTTTCATATCCGGACACCTACCCGAAACGCTCTGCATAATAGTGGCTTTAGGCATTGTATGTACTAGCTCTGTCTATAAATCCATCAACGTTTTGTATCTCACCTCGTATGTATGTACTTTACCTGAATAAATATTTGTATTTGTATTTGACAATTCAATGATTATCCGGCTGGCTGTCCGGATAGTGTAACATCGGCAGCAAGTTAACCGGCTCAGGTTTTTTATCTGGCTAAACCAGCTTTTATCCGGCTCCATGGCCGTCTTGGCCGGATATTGAGATTACTTTATCCGGTCACGATTTTGGCCGTATAAAGGCGTTTTCCGGATGTTCGAATCCCGGATAATCGAGTTACTCACATACATTCTATTATGTCACAGTTAAATGCAATTCTGACTGTAGCTAGGGTTAACTATAACTTTGTTAACCTCTCTAAATAACTATTCTTAAGTTACGTTGGCTATATACTGCTTTAACCCTAGCTTATAGTTATACTTACATCCTACCGTGTTAAATATATAACACCGTAGAAAGTTGTTTTCACATATTCATACATTAAAACATTGATTGTAACCATGCTATACATGTGCTTCAGCCTACAGTTTAGACCTACTGTCTTGTGTATGACCCTCTGTCCTGTGTGACAGTGAATACCAGCATTATCCTCACTTTAATAAGACTTAATTGAAATTCTCAGATTAGGCAAAATTTTAATTAATTTTGTCAATAAAGATGTTAATAATAATAATAATACCGTATTGCGTAATTGAATTACACTCGATTGAATTGAGTAACTGCATCACTCATGAATTAATTGTAACTAGGATAGACTACTACTGTGACTATAGCTTTGTTAACTTCCATGCTATAATTATATTTGAAGTTAACTAAGTTATAATAGTAACTACCCATAAATTATACATATAAAGTTAGAGTATAATAATGATAATAATTATTATAAACTACTTAAATTAATTTAAATAAAAAGTCCCATACACGTTAAGAGTTTTCCTTCAAGGGAAAATGACTATATTTACTGCTGCGCAAACAAACAAACAAAAAAAGCATCAGATATAAAGAAACATGACCAAACGCCTCGTCCCGCACGGGAGTCGACCCCGGGACCATTTGGTTGTGAACCAACTGCGCTGACCGCTGACGATCACCGAAATGCCATTGATAATTCATTGTATCACGGGACAGGAAGCCCGTTGACGTTGGGGATTAAACATTGAGATGTAAGTCTCGTCCTAATCACACACTCAGACCTTGATAAAGCACTCAGGAGTGCGAGAGACTTGGTGTAAATTCCTTACATAAATTTCACAAATATACAAGTGTGGGTTTTTATCACAAACAATAATGTTATAAATAATGTCACACTGATGCCGTTACACACGTGCTGCACCTCAATTTGGACGTTACGGACACCAGTCTACAAACGCAGGATAGTTTTTTTTTTTTTTTAATTATAAATGACTCAATTTGTACGTTTTCTTGGACCAATGAGCACCAATGCGCCCCTTGAGGGACTTGAAGTAGAGAGGGGTAGAAATAGCCTAAGCTACTCTATCCCTTTGAGATGTATTTTATTGTCTCAGTAAACGTACTTGAACATTAATGAGTTATACGGGGTGGTCGTAGTTCATGCAATTGTCCTTAGGCATTAACACTCCAAATAATATGCAGAATTCATTGCACGTTCCTTAGTTCATCCTGGTGGAGTTATTGTTTAAATGAGCACCTGTAAGTGTTCAGTAAACTTTACTAAGACAAGATACATAATTTTGATGCAAGATGTGGTGAGCTATACTGCAGAATACTTCCGTAGTGCCGTGGTGCATGCGTGGTGCTGAGCAAGGGGTTTGCGTCATCACACGCAAGGATCATATTTGGCCTCCAGTTACCACCCCGTTGACTGACGGTTTCCCGTTGTCGAAGACAGGAAGCCTGTACTCGGCTTATCGAGGTCCCCAAAGGCCAACTATTGACCTTCCCCAGGATCCAGCCCACAACAGTAGCGCTAATAGCACAAAGTAAAAAGTAGAGACGATCACGTCATAGGCTCACATATGTGCCCCCCCCCCCCCCAAAAAAAAAAAGTGTGCCTAGTTTCTGGAGCTATACACAAAGCCGTGCACAGTGATTAGTTCAAACATGTTATTCATTAAAATGACAAGATCTCCAAGCTCGGATAGATATACCCATGCTTGGATAGACGTTTGCATGCTTAACTAGAGGTCTCCATGCTCAGATAAAGGTCTCCATCAGTGATTTGCAGTTTAAGTTCTACATGCAAGGTCGTTTTTTTTTACACTGAAAACTGAGTTTTTGACCATTTACAAAATTCAGGTTGATTCTTCTACCTTTACCTTATGGCACATACAACAGGAAAATCTCATCCAGGCCAAGGGCTAATTTGATTGTAAATAAAACAAAAATGAGCAAAATATTATGACAAACTTTATTATAGTATATTTATTCACATGATGAGGCAGTCTAATATTTTTGAAATGCATGAACATATTAGTTTCGCTAATATTTTCCCATATATTTATAACAATCACATAACAGCTGCTAACCCTTAGGCACCAAGGTTCCTAAACTTGACAAGAGGCCTTTTAAACCCAAAGTTTTTTTCATATTACTGCACTGTATAATTTACAAATTTGAAGTTACTATATGGTGCTTTTATATATTGTAAATACAAATGAAACGAAGAAAATATAATTCATTTATAAAAAAAAACTCTTGGAGACATGGCTGTATTTAGCTGTCAAGCAGGTTACAACCTTACTGTTTAAGTTTAATTTTTTCTTTTACACAACAATCAGTTTTAACCATTTCCTATTTATTCATGTGATGCCTTTCTTTTATTCAGACACCATTTTTTATTTGTGGCAGTTTGGTTCGTTCTAACTCGCAAAAAACTCTCTGGGTTGAATCTCGGGACATAAATGGTTGGGAATGTTTTCTTTCACCTAATGCCTCTGTTGACATAGCAAAAAATAGGTATCTGGAAGTTAGTCGACTTCTTGTGGGGCTGCATCCTGGGGTGGGGGGACATTGATAAAAACTCAACATATATATACACAGGTTACTTGTCCCCCTTGCAAAATGATTTACAGTACAGTATTTAGTTTTTCTTTCCGTGTCACGGATTCATGATGTCCTGCATTTTATGTAGGCACCCAAGGATTAAAAGAAATAATTTCTACTAATAACCAATTTTAAACACAGTATATTAAATTGTCAAATGAATAAGCTGCACAGCATTTTCATATCTCCAATTATAATATTGCTTGATTTGTAAATAAGATAGTTACTGTATAACCATGGTAGACAGCTGCAAAACACATGCATGACTGTAATAATAGTTTATATTAAATAATTACTAATAACCCAATGACAGATTCCAGATTTAGGCAACCTCTTTGGCAATTAGGGCTTTCACATATGCTCTACTTAAACTTTAACCGAATAACTGGGTAATATTGACAACTTTACCGATTCTATAAGTCAAATGGAAGTACCTGTACAGTATAAATAAAGCCCGAGTCATACCAGAATATATTTTGGACCAAGAGTGCTCAGTCAGCATCATTTTCTTCCGAGGCAAACATTTGATGCAAATACGTCAACCTTGTATGGGGCACAATCACAAAAATATTAAAATAGCTCCGATCATCATACATGCACTATATTTATATGAGCATTGGAGCCGATGCATGGGCCACCATTCTTAAAAATTAGGGTATACCAATCTACAATATGTACAACAAAATACACTATAATACATTATAAACAAAGATGTAGGAAACTGCCATAACAAAAGAGAAGCTGAGGGTGCAGCTTGAAGTAAACAGATGATATTGCTTGCATGCAATAGTCTCGCTCTCTATACCATTAACATAAGTCTGCAGTTTAATTATTCAGACTTGAGTAAAGCAATGTTGAAATGAAAATGATTGATACAACTTAACAAAATAAACTAACAAGCTTTTACAATACACATCGAAGTTACTACACATTTTCAGATGTATAAAAACAGCAGTACACAAAATTCATTTATCTCAAGTTATAAATGTGCACTCTTTCAAAAAGATAATACAAGACAATATTTTGTTAAAACTTTAGGAACATATTTCTCTGAAATATAATGAGTCTTTTTAAAGTCAGAACTGAAATATTCTATTAAGTGTACCAAAAGAATACAGTTCATAATGGAATAATTTCTCAATGTAAATCATATTTTTAATCACAATAATTATTATTTTGTCCTTGTGATTTACTGGTGGCTAGTTGTGATTTTCTTGACTAAATTATCATCATTCTCAAATTCTCACAAAATGCTTATTTATTAATACGAGTGGTTAAGTTGCAGTATTAAACAATGATAAATACAGTATGTGTATTGAATATAATATTATATTGACCAAACATTTAATTTAGACAGTAATTAAAAAAAATAGTACGAGGAAACACAGTGGGGGCAATACTATTGCCCACTATGCGAATGCCAAAGTATACTGTAAGTTACTATATTCATTTATATAGGTTTTTGTCACATTTTCAAACTAAAATATATACTGTATAAAAATTAGGTAATGATTTCTTATATCTGGGTGTCAACATTTCAGAATCAGTTTACATTGATTTTGATTTTACATCAGTTTTACATTTACCTGACAAACTGGGAATGAATGAATGAATGAGTAAACTATGCTTTTGTCAAATCGTTTATATTAACTTAAAATGCACAATCTTTTTACAAATAATTAACATGTACAAATTTCTTTTGAAATATGATTTAAAATTTAAATAATTTCAAAGCCAGATTGTGGTTTAAAAATGTCACAGTAATTTGTATATTCCATTAATTAACAACCAATTTTTTACTGATACTACTGAATAATATCCGACAGCACCTGATAATTCAAAATTTAGTCGTAATGGATAAAACAGGTTTATAATTCAGCTCCAAAATTCTTTTGAGAAATATATGAATGTGTTATGCAGTATTTGACTACTTATAGAACAGCAATATTGGCATTGACAGAATATGCAAAATGAAAAAAAAAAAATTCTACAATGGTGAATGTCACCGAACAGGAGGAAAAACCAGGGGTCATTGCTGGTTCAGACACATCATGCATAAACCATACGAAAGTACACTAAATCTGACTGGAATCTATCACAGACTTGTGTAAGTAAATCCTGATAATGATAAGGGCAAAGGTAGCCAATGATGCTTCTCAAAAATAAACATTATAAACATTTCATAAAGAAACTAATAATAATTTTGTGAAAAGAAATAGCATATCAAATAGCACTTTCATAAAAATTTATATTTAATAAATAGTTACCTTAAACTGCAACAAAAATGTTTAATGCTATTCAATGAAGGCAAAATAAAACATGTATGGCATTAACCATGGGCATTATGATCTTCGACACCTTAACTACGTATGAAAAATCTATTATTTTAAATGAGCAAACGGGGTAAACAAAGGTGTTGGTTCTTAGGAATCACGTAACATTACCCACACCTGTGTTTATCTAACATTTAAGATTGAATCTGGATCTTACTGTACTATTATGTGGAGCTGGTCCTAGAAATTGGGGCTACAACCCTAGGGACAAACCTAGATTATCATTATTTCTACCACCATGGCAAATCTAGGTCTTCCTGTACCTGTAACCATTGTAAAAATTAGGTTTACTGAAAGCCCATATGAGTGGGCAGGTCTAAGCTTTAACATACTAGACACCCAGGACTGATCTTATATCATAATTAGCATTTTACTTATGTTCACCTACATCTGAAATCCTGACTTGAATCTTGGTCTTCCTAAGTTGTAAATGCAGTCTGCTGATATACTTATTCCAGATTAGTACTCTAGTTTACCTTTTTGTAAGAGTGAAATATTCACATCACAAAATGAAACACATGTATCTACTGTATAGCAGTGACATATGAAGAAAGAAGCAACTTATGGAATACATACTGCATTAAATCTGTTTTGCATGCCTTCTGACCTTTTTCAAAGTACTGTACAAATATGCCATAATAAAAACACATTCCTTATAAAGAAACAGTACTTAAGGAAGATTTTAAAACAATTTTAAGAGACTTAGATGCTAAATTAACTATCTACTTCCAAGGTTATATTATAGGTGGAGAACAAAGAATTAATGGAGGTACTGAAATGTTTGTCAAAAATAATCATTAAATAGAGAATGATACTTCGAAACTCACTACCGATTTATAACAGCAAAATTACAGTACACCTGATAGGAAGTAAAACTTGCTTGATAATTTTGCCACAAAATATATCTTCCATGGTCACAACACCGCCTTCACTAAACCCCACCTCCAGCATACACACCTAGGTCATTCTCAGTAGATACTATGTGCATACATATGCATGTCCACCCCCACACACACAAATGCATATATACACACACATCCTTGTATACATGCATGAATTCAAATTTGAATTTTTATTTTTTCTTCATTTAAGCCTTAAATAGTAAACAAACATAATAATGGCAAAGGCTAGCTATCCTGTCTTGAGAAAAAATATAAAAACAAAGACAAAAAAATCAGGTGTTGAATTTAATGAAATGCTCTTTCCTGGGTGACCTTAGTAACATATCAGTTCATTGTCTGTACTACTAGAGAGATCCATAAAACTACCAGGTCTCTGGTCTTGTGCATGCTTACCTAACCTAAGGACCAGGAACTGATGTGCTCATAGATAGAAGGGAAAGCACATGCATTAGAGACTAACCAAAATAAAGTTACCAAGAAATTATAGGTTAAGCAACAGTACAGTACAGTGACTAAGTTAAAGATTGAAACTATTGAAGTGAAAGTTTGCACAAAGTCAACAAATCACTCAAGTGCACCCAATAGTATTAAAAAATATAGGATTCATTCTTAGCCAAAATAGACAAAGAGCAGTCCATAGAGAAAAGAACAAAATACTATCCTTTGATGAATAAGCATGAATTTTTCAAATAGGCCTACCAGAAGCAAGAGCCAACAGAAAAACTGCCTTGAAAATTAAAATCATCATCCAAACAGAGGCACACAAGAAATTGAGAGGAGGACAAAAGAACGAACCATATAGGTTCATCAGGAGGAATCAAGGCTTTTTTTTTCTTACCCTCGGCCAGGAGGAGGAAAAAAAAAAAAAAAAAAAGACATTTGCCCCAAAAGCAGCGAAGAAGCTTTTGCAAGGGTGAACCAAAGAAATGGCATGACCACTGGCACAGAAACATTAGGTAACTGATGAAGAGAAAGGGTCAAGAGGTCTGTTAAGTCACCTCATACTGGCACCAAGGAAGAGGTATTTGATAAATTAAAAGAGCTATCACCTGGTCCCCACCTAAGTAGCAGTACCATTGACTCCTAACTATCCTGAGGTAGAGTCCGTGAATGGAAGAAAAAGACTAAACTGGCCACATGAGAGCGTGAAGAATGATGCTACCCTAATCTGACCAGAACCGAAAGGAGCAGCTGGAACGAAGAAAAGAGAAAAAGAAAGTTCCACCGATTCCAGCACAAGCAAAAAGTGTTTACTGCAAACACCTCAAGATTGGAAAAAGGAGAGAGGGGCAAAATACCACTTTTCCTTATTTTCTTCTGAGTAGATCAGACTCTGGTTGTGGTGTTCGGTAGATCTGCACAAGTCCAGAGGCTTGGACGTTTTGTGGATGTCTCTGTGGTTCCAGAACCACAGAGCCACCAGGGAGCAACAGAGGCCACCCAGAAAATGTACAATAAATATCAAGGCACTCTTGAAGTTTGTCAATACTGGTATATGGATTACAACAATACAAAAATGTTTCTTAGTACTACACATATACAAGAAATTTCTGGCAATAACCAAATGGCAAAATATCTATTCATATGACTTAAAGAGTAGTCTTCATAATTCTAAACCTTAACATAACTAATTTATAGCACTGGAATATATACTTTCTCCATTTCAAATCTATCATAGTTAGATCAGCAATGTTGACCCCTGACAAAATAGAACACTTTCTGCTATGCTCAATGCTACACGACATATACTGAAAATGCACATTAAGTTCAGAGCACCTGATCACTCTAATGGCCATGACTATTCTTCTTACTCGTAAAACTTTACCAAGTTAGAGACCAGAAGAAATTATCACACATGTCTTTGGTTTAAAGCCCCTTTCTTCAAAATATGTAATATAAGGATATAAAATTCTACTGCAAAAAAACATGTAATATACAAAAGTAACTTATTAATTCATCGATAATACAACCCTAAAAATATAATCATAATATATTCATGTTTTAAATCATTAAAAGTGTTCTTGACATACTCAGCAACACAAGTTCAGCATACATCACTTCCATAATTAAATAGTTAAGAATGGGTTACTCTCCAATGTTTCGTCTTTGTAGAAATTACTTAACATACAAGTGTGTCATCGGCACTTTAAACTGTTACAAGTACTAGTACCAGTATACACAAAGTTCCTGAAACGAATAATTATGAAAAATACAAATAAAAGTTTGTAAAAAAAAATATATAATTAATGTACTTGGAACTGTATTTTAAATATTAACACAGGAAGACTAGCATACCATAAGACCATGTACATATTTTACTGGGGGGGAAAACAAAATATATGTATAGCCAATTTATAACAAGCCTCAGTTCCTGCCATTGTGTTCTACTATGGGTGTCGGGCAACTCTTCTGTGTAGTACAGTACAGTATTTATGAAAGGACGGAATTTCCAAACTCACTGGTAGTAGGTCAACAGATAATATATCCCTTCTTTCCCCACAAATGCTTGCTTGGTTCTTTTTAATATTGGTAATAACTAAATGCAAAAAAATTGCATTAATATCATGCCAATACTTTATTGCCAAGGACCATATTGACCAGAGCAAGTAATTTATAGTATTAACATAGATACATACAGCACAAAAACATGAAATGAGGGTTTGCACAATGAATATCCATGACCTTGCTCTATGTAGAACATGAATGAACATATAGTGTGAATTATCTTGGGAGGAAGGAATACAAACTATAGTAACTGGGATGTGATGGCAAAAGGCTTGGGGAAATTCAGAGAGAATACTGGTACAATTAAATGAGTAAACTAATGTTTCTTGTCAGTGGAAGTAATTTCATTTTTTTTTTAAAGAAAAACTATTCTGGGATGACTATATAGCAATGTTATAGAATATTCAAGAGATCCTAGATGCAATTCAGGATGCAAATATAAGAGAAAGACACAAGACAAGTGATATTAAGGAACTAGTGTCACTGATGATTCTACCAAGAGACTGACTTTAAGGTACAGAAGGAAAGCAAAATTTCCGATCCCAAAAATTTGAACATTCTACAAAGAGCCACAAGTGTTAGTAGAACAATGCAGTTAGGAAAATATGGGGCAGGTGTCTTTCACTAAGTGGCCATGAATTAATCTTGTGTTGCTAATACACTACCTAGCCACAAATATTTTCACTTTGTTTCAGTAACAAAAGGAAGGCCGAGGGGATTGGTAGTACATTTCTACAGCGTGTTATTTTTTCCTTGTCTAAAATGGCACTGATCATGTTACTTATCAGAAGGCAATGAGTCACAATGTTGTTGAAGATAGTGACCAAACCACACATCAGAAGATGGAGAAATGATGACGTTCCGGTCCGTCCTGGACCACATACGACTTGATAATGATCCAGGCTGGACTGAAACGTCGTTTCTCCATCTTCTGATGTGTGGTTTGGTCATTATGTTGGCTATTAATTTTGAAGATGTTGTGTATGAATAGAAGTTATTGGATTGAATAGAAAAGTTTATTTAAGTTTTATTTAAGTTCTACAAGTTTATCAATGATGTGCAGTGTAGCATGGAAAGGAATATAATTACATATTTATAGTTTTCTTATTAGTTAACATTTTAATTGTTGTGGCATTTTAAATGGATTGAGAAGAGGGTGGGCAATAATGAAAACCTGAACAATAAAGCAAAAAATACAAGAACACACAACTCCAGTTTTACAACAAAAAGCACAAATGACTGATAAATTAAAAGACACTGTATTGGGTAGAGATTTTATTTGCTAATTTAAAGACATCTGTATCTTTAACTTAGCAATATACAGTAATGTCTTTAATTTAATACTCGTCAAATAAAAATAAAGGAAGATATAGAAAATGCAAAATCAATAGTAGTATGACAGCAATAATAATGTTGGAACAACGGAAATCTATACCTCGATGAGCTTGATAATCTAAATTTGTTTATCCTATTTCCAGTATACCTGTTATGATTATGAAGATAGGTAAATAAGCATCAACAATAAACTGGCAATTTTGGTTCTGGATAAATCAGTATTGTCATGAAATTAAAGTAATTCAGCTTTTAAGTACAGTACTAAAACTTTGTTTCTGCCATGGTCATGATATAACATCCTGGTTATCAAGTCCTGATAATTGTCAGTATTTTGAGTGCGAGAAGCAAAGGTAAAGAAATCTCAATTTTAACATTACAGTTCCTAGTGGTGCAGTGGTAATACACTTGCCCCGCACCTCATGAGTGATTTGGTCTAAGTTTGAGTCCTGACCTAAGGAGGATTGTTTGGGTGCCAATCCTTAACTGTTTGCCCATGTTCACCCAGCAGTAAATGGTTATCTGGTTATTAACTGATTGTCAGGTCGTGTTCCAGGGGATACTAGTGGGTAAGGCTTACCATGAGCTATGGCAAGGAGGAAAGCTCTCAGCCTGCTAACAGGAGTCAGAAGTCATTTACTCCTGTGCCCCACACATGAAAATACAAAAGATCTGCAACACAATTTTGAGCATCAAATGATCTTAAAAGCACATACCATTTAAATAATTTTTCCACAAAATATTCATCATACCAGGATAATATTTTCAAATAACTACTACAAATGGAAATAATCTGTATACGACTCATGTTGTTTCTCTTCACACTGGAAAAAACTTGCAAATATTATTTGGTAATGTACAACACTTCACAGAAGCTGTGCCTCTTATAAAAAATATTTACAAGCCTACATCCAAATAGGTAACGCGTTTACATACAAAATCATGTATTACATAGCTAACAAGATGTTCACAAATTAATATAAAAACCTACACGTCGTTAAATTTCTCCAGGGACTCCCGTAGCCGATCAGTAACCTGGAATAAAAAGAAAATTAAATAATACTGAAGCATAATTGAGTTCAAGACTGAAAAGAATCATGATACTGTGTAAAATTAGCCATTAAATCCCACAGGATATTACACAACCTTGAGGAACATCCACACAAATCTGAACTAGTCACTCGTTATCTTGAGGTTATCTTGAGATGATTTCGGGGCTTTAGTGTCCCCGCGGCCCGGTTTCGACCAGGCCTCCACCCCCAGGAAGCAGCCCGTGACAGCTGACTAACACCCAGGTACCTATTTCACTGCTAGGTAACAGGGGCATAGGGTGAAAGAAACTCTGCCCATTGTTTCTCACCGGTGCCCGGGATCGAACCCAGGACCACAGGATCACAAGTCCAGTGTGCTGTCCGCTCGGCCGACCGGCTCCCTCATACATCGTTCTCTCTTAAATCATTTTGAAAAGACTTTATGAGGTAAACTGACTCTTAACAATATCCAGATTAAGAAAAATGAATGTAAATTTATAGGTGGTCATAAATAAAAAAATTTAATACATTAGACAATAAAAAGTAACAAAAGCAGTAGTAGTGTAATCTAAAATTTACTATGATACTTCCCTAATCTACACATTTTAAATATATTATGCTATTTTCTCATCAATCCATACAATACCTATGAGATTTTTGCTAGAGGACCAGCAACTAATTCACCTAAATTTAATCAATGCTAAACAAATGTCAGCAATCAGAGCTTATCTAACACCAACTTGAGACACACAGCACCCCTTCTTATACAAGTGTGTTCAACTGTCAAATGGACAATGCTTCACATGTTCTTATAAACCCACCATACAATATTAACTCAAAGTTTTAATATGCTAATGTGATGGATTATAACAAAACATGAGTAAACTCTTGAGACAAACAATTAACTTGACTTTTACGTTTCTTGTGTTTAGCCCAATCAACATGAAAACCCATGTTGATTGGGTGCTATGAACCCTCTTGTTTTCCATGTTGATATGATACCAGATTCTTACAAATATACTGTACATTAGGAAAGGCCTTGCCACTCCTCCTCGTTGTCCTCTAACCACTATCTTCCTAACATGGGCTTTCATCGCACAAGCACATTTCCTCTCATTGTACAATACCCTCAAATTCCCATGCACAAATTCCTTATGTATAAAGAAACCCAGGTACTTAAAATTACCAATCATGTCTCCATTTATTCTAATTTCACACTTTCTCCTCTCCATTACCATTACATTTGTTTACAGGTACTTACTTTTTCTTCAAAATTTTATCTAATCCTCTTTTCAAGCTCTACAATTGCTCAATCCATGATTCACTTGCGCTAGTTAATAACTTAAGTATTATACCATATGTACACATTAATAATGATAAATGTACTGTGCCATACTCAGGACTTAAATGATTTCCCTGAAACCACTAAATGATGACTACAGTCACGCAACTAAGATTTTCAAGTGTCAAATTTTAAGTAGCTCAATAATCATTACAAAACATTTCAAACATAGTTAAGAATTTTTTTGCAACTGCAGTCATTTTCAACTTAATGAAATCTCTAAACTGCATAAATATCTTACTTTCTGATAAAAATTAATTTGTTCAGTTAGGAAGGAGGTCATGGCTTTCTTGAAATCTCTTTTTCGCTCTTGATGGAAATGAGCCACTTCAGCATGAAGAGCGTAAGCTATGGTATCTGATCGTCTGACCATAGGAGGAACTTGGTCATAATCCAAACGGCCTTCATTAGCCTCCTTTTCAACTTGCCTTCTCTTAGCTATTGCTCCCTGCAAAAAACAAAAACAAAAAAGATAATAATGCATGAACAACTTTTTTTTGTTTGTGTTAGTTATGTGAATACTTTACAGGACTGTATGTAAAATTATCTATTGTGAATCTATCTCCAAATTCATAACACTGCAATTTAATTCCCCCAAATAATTGTTTAGCAATATTTCTGCTTAATTTATTGCAGATATAGCAAAAGATTTTTGAGTTGGTATTGCTTTCACCCCATCCTCCTGTTTTGGTAGTACTTATAGTAACGATGAGGACCATATATATATATACTGATGTACAATGAAATTAAAACGTAGAAATCGGAACTATTGAGTTGGACAAACCGGAAAACTATTTTTTACTGTGTTGCTTTGGCTAACCTCACCTAACCTTCCTAGGCCTAATACACGATATCTGAGGACTAATATAGTACATGTCTGTGTGCTATACTAGGCCTAGGAATATTTAAGTTGGTGTTTTAGCTTCATTTATTTAAAAATTCCTTACTAGTCAGTATATGTACTACTATCTGAAAGCCAAGAATATCCAGATTCTGACTACTGACGATTGTCACAATAGGTACTATCTAAACAGGAGGATGGGTTGTGCCATTAGATACTTTAAAAACCGAAGTGTAGAAACACTTGATGAGCAAAATGATTGAAGAAGATTCTGCATGCACTGCCTTTCCTTCAGTAGAGGACCTGTAGTACAGTGGTCTATGTCCTCGACTTGCAATCTCAAATCCCGGGTTCGATTCCTGGGTGCATTTCCTTTCACCTCATGCCTCTGTTTATCTAGCAGTAAATATGTACTCAGGTGTTAGGCAACTGTTGTGGAATGCATCCTGGTTAAGATCAGTAATTGCCTTAGGAAGACCTTGATAATTTTACGTGCAAGCTTTCTGTCCCTGACAAAATAAAGTAAGACATTAATGAATTGACTGTTGTAAAAGGTTTAGTGACTGCTCATACCTGGAGAAAGTTTCGGGAGTTCTTCTACTCCCGAGCCTGGCCCAGGCTCAAAGACAAAAAAATAAGAGGACTAGTTCCCTTGCACCAGTTGTATATTTATCCAAAGACAATTATGAGAACACACTTTAGAGTCAAATAAATAAAAAGCTAAATTTAAACAACTGGATACTAAAAGACTATACATTGGAATGCAGAAAAGAATGAACTTCCTCCATACTAATGAAAGATTTTGAAAGAGATCATTTTCAATCTATACTGTTTATGAAAACATTTAAAAACTAGAAAAATGGGAATTTAATGGGGTAGAATGTGCACATTAAAAAATAAAGTGGCAGAATCAATAGATCAAATTATAATTTACAAAATGCAAAAATACCACAAGCAGTCATTTGGAAACCATCATTCTTGATGTTATCTTGAGATGATTTCGGGGCTTTTAGTGTCCCCGCGGCCCGGTCCTCGACCAGGCCTCCACCCCCAGGAAGCAGCTCGTGACAGCTGACTAACACCCAGGTACCTATTTTACTGCTAGGTAACAGGGGCATAGGGTGAAAGAAACTCTGCCCAATGTTTCTCGCCGGCGCCTGGGATCGAACCCAGGACCACAGGATCACAAGTCCAGCGTGCTGTCCGCTCGGCCGACCGGCTCCCTTTATTTAAGCTTATTCTTTAAAAATGTACCATAACAACCAGGTTGGTCTAGACATGTAGACATGTGTTGCAAAATACTGTAAGGAGAGGAGAGAGAGAGAGATGACCAAATTGCAATGCTGACAACCTGGTTGAGGACAGGGCCTAAGGCAGTATGAACATCCCAAAGTTTATATTTATCTACTTAATAGGAAACATCAACCTTTGAATGTAATAAAATGTTCTTTTTTGGGCAGCCTCAGTAATTTCCCAGTGCATTGGTTCTGTTGCCACAGAGATGTCCACCAAACTAACAGGCCTTTGGACTTCCACACACCTAATGAACACCAGGACCAGAAGCTGGTGTACTCATAGAAGCAAGGCTAGCATGGGAATCCAAGAATGACCCAAAATCAAGTACTTTAAGAGAAAAAATGGCAATAGGGAAAGTGGTTATTAACCATATGATAACAAATTATGAGTGGTAAAGTAGGTAAGCAAATGCACTACCAGGCGACAGCTCGGGTCAACAAGGGGTCTAATTTACTAGCAAGCTCAACACGATAACAAAAATCTGTCACCACATCATGAGGGAGCGAAGCAAAAAGCTTGGGCAAAGCATTGAAATACTGTGGTAGACAAGGAGGAAGAGGAACCCAAACTATGGAAAACCACTTCACATGTAATTATACCGTGAACATTAATAGTGGCAAGAAAACTGAGTAGGGCAACCTCTTTCCAATCCAGAATGCTCTAATTATAGAAATTACCCTAATTTTTCCAAGGAGTGTCTCCCAGCTGGGAGAACCTGGGACCTTATAACCTGATTAGGAAATGGCTGTGGAGTTGAACCAAAATGTATTTGGGCCCATTTCTGAAGTGATGTCTTGATTTTTGTGCCAGCAAGTCACACTGGGTCAAGAAGGTTACAAGGCAAGACTGCTGAAATTTGCAGAGGGGAGGCAAGTCAAGACTGAATTGGAACCATTCCTTGTGGGAAACTAGCAACATCCAACTCAAACTGGCATAGAGGATAATAAAGGATACCAACAGAAAGGAAAAGCCTTGCAGGATTTGATGCCAATGCCCAGGGTCATGGGTTAAAATCAACTCCCAAATTTGAGGAAAAGAAAGGAGAGGAGGTAGAATCACCCACCACCAAGCATGGGAACACTTGGTGGTGGTTGCTTCTAAACCTTGGTGGTTCAGAAGCACTCCAACTCATTCCCTAAATACAAGGGATGAACCTCAGAAGACGCTGCACTCAGAAACTGCCATCACTACTACCACGGAATCAGAATGGAACCAGCACCAATACCTCAAGAACTCAAGAGGTCCACAAATTTAGACTATTTAGGAGTCACCATCAGAGGCAGAAAGGAAGCTTAACAAGTAGATGCCTGACAGAGAGACTGAACCCGAGTCAGTAGCGAAAACAACAAAGAAAAGGTTTGTGTTTAACACAAGACCACATTACCAAAGCCTCAAAATCCACTTTATGAAAATGAGGAGTCTCACCTCCCACAGCACCTGCCACATTTGCTGACTGCAAAAGCTAGTATCCACTCAGAGAGTAGAAACAGCACAATAGGCTGCCCTCAGGTGACTAAAGCAATGCAAACATCCAGCAACAACAAATACTGCACACTAAAAAACAAGAGCTACGAGGAATGACAAGAATCATTAAATATGCCAAAGCTGGAAGATAGAAGGAAAAAAGAGGCAACATGATCATCATTTCACAACGAGGAATTTTTTACACTTGCAACTTCAAGTGCCATAGATTCAAGCTAAAAAGAAAAAATATATATATATATGAAAGTTCTCTTTAGCGAACAGATTTGTAGACAATTGGTACAATTTAAAGTGAGAAGGTGGTTGATGAAACTATCTGTAGTTACAAAGTGTCACATGACAAAGCTTATAGGGAAGATAGGAGTTTTTTCTTTCAAATCTTTCACCATTTCTTGCACATTCATCTACACTTGGAGCATTCTCTTAATTAAGGCCTAGTTACCCATGAAGATGCTCTTACCTTATGCTTTAAAAGTTTTCCAACTTAGAATTTTGTCTTGCCATTCTGTTCATTTCCCTACATGATATTCCTGTGTTTTGTAGCATTTTATGATAGGAACCGATTAGTGGATTCTCCACAGAGAATCTAGAGTTATTGCATTTTCTACTTTCCTTTCTTAAATATTCAGTTTTTTTTTACATTAACTTTTCGCAAACAGTTTTTAAACAAATCTTAATACATATTTTGCTCATTTCAGTAAACAATTACCACCATTTCATACACAGTATTCAGTTTTTCCTTCACTCAATGCAACTTCCTCCTGTCACTTCAATTTTTTTACCACACAGTCCTAATTGCCTTAACTGACAAAATTGCCACTCACACTATTATTATTTTTGCTTTCAGACAATACTTAATTGTATTCCTAACATACTTTCACCCTGTACAATTCTAAAACGAATGCAATCATATTGTCACAATTTCAAACTGTTTTAGACATCAATAGAACATTTATGCTTAAAATCTTGAACAATTAAAACAGTCAATCACATTTAATACATGTTTCTTCAGTTCCTCCTTCGAAATGGTGTACAAATGGCAATTACTGTATTCAATGATAGTTTTGAACTACACAGTAATGTTGATGTAAATAAATACAAAATATAGCTGGTATTAATTCCTTCATGAGAACCTAACTATTATTTTAAGCCAACAGAGGATTTAATGAAATTCCATCAATCTCTGGAATCTCTGGAATCTGGAATATATGATCATCATTCATATCACTTCTACACAAGTAACTGGTATCATCCTGCACTCTTCTTTGCCAATATTGATTTTATATGAACTCTAAAAGGTGCATCATCTTACATCACACATGATCATGTGTTACAAATGCAGAATGCAGACTTGTGCTTACTGTAGAATGTACAGTAGAATTTGTTTATTTTCTTTATATATTTGTAGAATATACAAATACAACATACCACAGAAATTATGAGAAAATATGCAAAATGAATGGCTGAAAGAAACAGGTGTTATGGAAGAAATTTTAATAAAATTTTTATTGAAAATTGTGTGCAGAGGAAGAATTTTTATTAGGAGAAACCCTGAGAAAATGAAGGTATAACCCTCACTTAATTTATCAGCTTAGCAAGTGCACTGAAAAATGAAGTGCTCCAGCTTTGAGGAAAATATATACTTACTTCAACTAGGTGTACTTAGGCTGGGGATACAAATGACTAGGATGAGAAACCATTCTGTGCTACATGCACTGTAATTTTTTTACAGATAACAAGGGACATATATATATATAATAGATTGATAACTATAAAATGAGAGATTGACGTTACTGAAAATGCATACTGTACTGTACTGTACTGAACATATTTTCCTGACAATGCTGTTCATCTAATATTAGTGTTGAAAAATGTTGAAAAAAAAAATAAAGCAATGAATGAAAAAATGACAAACCTTAGTTATATTAATGACACTGGGAAAACCATCAATAAGGCCTCTGTATTCAAAGAGCAGATGACATAATGGATCCCAATCATGTTTTGGCTCCTCCTCAAACACGGTGCCAATATCTTGGTATGCTTCACTCATATGGTGAATAGCTTCTGTCAGACCAGGTGCACCTGCCAAGAAAACAAAATTATGAAAGATAAAATAAATCTAACATTAAGTTATTTGTATCATAATTAATATATAGTGTGTTTAATGCAAATCATGATAAAATTGCATAAAAGAAAAAATCTGACACCATTATTTGAACACTGATGCCAGATGGTTCTAATTACAATCCCTAAAATGTCCAAATATGCTACGAGACTAGTATTAGAGATAAATAAATGACCTATGTCTTGAGAACTAAGGCTAAGAGAACTGAGTCTCTCTTGGCTAAGAGAACTAAATCTAAGAACATCAAAAGAAAGAAGGATCAGAGGCAATACAATCCCAGCATACAAAATGTTGAGAGAGAGTATCTACCAAATGAGGGATGATGACAGTACAAGATGGGGCAGGTGGAAACACAAATGAGCCAGAGATAAGAAAATACTTGTAGCAGTTAGGGTGGTAAGCAAGTCAAATTGACTTAGGACGGTGGGGGTGGTGGAAGTAACCGCCCTTCACAGCTTGAAGAGTGAGTGCAACAGAGTACTGGAACATCAGCAGGTATAAATGCACCAGGTACATTAGCCAAGATTGGCTCTAGCTAGTTTCATCTTGGTCCAAGAAACAACTAGATAAGTACAGTATTATATTTATTATGCACATTAAAAAAAATAATAATAATGTACTCACAATTTGAGGGATCAGTATCAAAGGCTCTACTGAGCTTAGAGAATGAATGGGAGATTTTATTATACTCTCTCTTGAAAGCAGTTTGATGTTTTTTGGCTTGATCCATACAGGTGTTTTGGAGTAGTTTGACAGCATCATCCAGATTGGAGAAGAAGCGATTGTAGCCTTCAAGTTTGGCTTCCCTATAGACACGAATAAACTAGATAAGGTTTGATTGCATTGAAGTCACTTTATTATTTATTATTATTAAAAATCTCACTTGTACACATTATTCTCCTCATAACTTCTGAGTCCTCCCACTTTCAACAAATACTGTACCTAACATTTAACAGATTTTTGTTGAATAACTGTTTACCTACATAACCTATTTTAACCTATTTCAATCACTCTGAATTACAATTTTAGGTAAGAATTTATTTTTAACAATGGATACCAGTTAAAAATACTTTAACTGCAACATACCAAGACTAATTAAAGGTCCTCACAACTACTTAGTTAAAAGCAACTGATAATTAATCAAAATTACTATTAAAACATCACTAATTTATCTACTTTAAAAGCAATTAGAATGCTAGACTCACTAGTACAACAAATACGCTCAATAAATGGAGCAATACAAAGTACTGTACATAGCAGGAATGAAGGGATAATAAGGCAGTATGTTCCTGGGAAAATAAGCATTAACCTACAAATAGTACAGTAAGGCACTGCCATTGCAATAGGCTACACACAACCAGCTTTCAACAAAACACTTACCCAGAATAAGTCGCGGATTCTAACATCACAAATACACACGCTCCACAACTCTAAGTACATACTGTAAAATATTTTAACCTACGTTTGCATTACATCCAGGGCATTATCAGGTCTTTCAATTGCCAAGTAGAAGTTAGCTCCAACCAGCTTGTCATTTTCTGCTCTGCGTTTCCCAGTTTTCCATAATTTTTCATCATTGGGACATGTAACAAAATGATGAAACACCTCACACTGAGATATTACTGGGTGCCTGCAGATACGATCTACCCATGACTGAAGCATTGTCATTCTGTACTCAATTAAGTCATCCTCAAATCTCCCTAAAAAGAAATGATTAATTTTAGAAGATGACATAAAAACACCAAGTACCAAGTATACTGTTATTATTGTGTTGAAAAGATTATCAAAAGACCTATTAATACTAACAGCTTTGATATTTTAATTTTTAAATTACAATAAGTTCAGCACACAATGCATATCTGTAAGAGAGAACGTCGGCATCTTTCCAAGATTGGAGGCCAGACACCTTGAGGCTGGTCTCACCCAACTTGCACACATGAAAACATGTGGGGTATGGGAGTGTCACAGGCTACTTAGGGTTGGTTCCAGTGCCAGATTTTAAAAATATTATATTTTATCACCCCCTGATGTGATTTTCATGAGAGAAAGAGGAGAGAGGGGAAAGAAAAAGAGAGGAGAGACAGGAGAAATGGCCCTCTTCCACTTTCAAGACCAAAAACCATTGTATATACACAGTGCAGCTTCAATTTGGTGAGTTTCCAGCTGTAATGCACATTTTCCAGGCTGGATTTACTCACCCATTTCGCCAAATACATGTACAGCAATTTGGCAGAGCAGGTAATGTGTAGATTAGTTTAGGAAATCTGGCCATAGTTCAGAGACCTATGAGAAAAGGGTCCATCATGATACAGTAGATTTGAATTAAAATTTTGCTCAGTTAAATAAGCCCATAGTGTGTGAGAACGTTCATTAAACTATAGGCTCGAAAATAGGTTTTCTATGCTGGGGCATTGGGAAATATGCTAGTGGCGGTCAAAGCTCATTACAGACAGGTTCTCCTGGTAGATGTTCATCATATATAAAAGACTGAAATTAAAATTTCCCCTCAAGTGAAATTAGCCCATAGAGCATGGGAAACACTTGGGTATGAATGACAACACTCTTAATATGGCCCCAATTACACCTTTAATTATTTTTGAAGGAGGCAGCAACATTAGAAAAAACAAGTGAAGTTAAATCTTTTTCTTGTCTTAAAGAAATAAATTACATCTCACAAATGCCTCTTAAAGGCATCTCTGGTTCCACTGAATCCCTTGTTGCAACCAGCTGAATCGAGATTGCACAGTACAATTTTGAAGTCACTACGCCAGCAAAATATCAGGAACAATATCCTGGCTTTAAGTTGTTCACTTATGCACTTTATATTAAAATTTCTTCATTGTCATAAAAATAGCCAAGGTCTGTGGCATAATTCCATCAATACAATTTCATCACTGTTGATACCTGGATGGTTCTGGGAGTAGTTGTTCTCCCCAAGCCCGACCCAGGGCCAGGCTTGACTTGTGAGAGCTTGGTCAAACAGGCTGTTGCTTGGAGCAGCCTGCTGGCCCACATATACACCACAGCCCAGTTGGTCTGTGTTCTAACAGTTCTTTTAATTGCCAAACATTTATAACAGTTCATAAATTGACTGAAGTCTATACAAAACTTGAAGAAAAAATTTAAACCAATTAGGCTAAGTAAAAATTTGATTTAATTAGGTTAGGGAAAAGTTAAGCTAGGTAGCATCAGGCGAGCTTTAAAACCCGGCACTTACCCGAGATTTGTTTTTCAGGTAATGGTGGTATGGGTATTAGAGGAAACTTTTCACTCAATCGACCTTGTATCCAATCAAAATGCTTGTACCTCCTTGAAACGGGTGTTGCCGAGAACTGAAAAACAGAGAGGGATATCTAGACAAATAGGAACAAAGCTCATACATTCTAACCATTACTAATTACAGTCCAGGTAAGTTTTGAGTACAGTACCTCTGGTAAATAGTTTCCTAATCCATTTAACGATATGTAAGCATAATGGTATAGTGCAGTATATAATGTGTTTACATGAATGGTTACAGTACATGTGAGTACAGTATTACTGTACATGGATATATATAAAAATATAGCATCTTTTGCTCAAGATAAGATGTGTATGATACAAATGTATACCAGAATTAATATTTTATTTGAACATGTACCTTCCTTACACATCATGCATATTATATATTAATTTTCACATACTGTACATTCCATTACATGTATAATGGCACAGTCCATTATATATGTATTTTCATACACCCATGCACATACATTATACTGAGGAACACATGCTTATATTAATTATTACACTCCCAAAATAAAAACAGGTAAACTAATTATAATAAAAATAAATTTTTTGAAGGCCACAATTTTCACTGACCAATAATCCAGAAAAAGAAAATATATATATATCTGACCCTTTTCCCTTTACTTGGAAAGAATCTCCTAACCTATATGATGATTCCGCTGTAATTTCTGAGACTTCATGCATTATGACTACACTTCATGGCTAACGAATAAGGAAGAGAAAAATGTGTTTATTCTTTAGTACATAAATTTCATTTAAACTTTGCTAGTTACTGTTACTGATTCATCACTGTATTAGTGGTGAATCAGTTTTCTAAAATCAAGTAATTCCAGAGATGAGTTATTCCAAAGAAAATTATTGTTAGCTTTTGGTTATTACAAATGTATTCGCATCGACTGGTCAGTTGGTTAAACACTGCAAAGTCTGACTAGTAAGTGGTTTAGCTGACCATGTCTGCAGACTTGCACCTGGCTAGAGGGCCTCGTTCTTTGCTTGAGGGGACCTCACTTAGCCTGACAAGCTTCCTGTTGCAGATAATAGGAAAGCATGTGTCTACAGCCCTGGTGCATTACGTCCTTCTGGTAGCTCTTTATCAGAGGATGCAATCACAGTGAAAGTTTCTCCAGGATGCTCTATTACCACACAAGCTGTTTGCTTTCTAATTCTCTGACCACTACCTTCAACACTTACTTCCGTGTATTGTTCCACTATTTCCTTCTAAGATATTGGTCATCTGCCTCTCCCACATGATCCCTTTTTTTCACATTTGTACATTCATCTTATTAAAGTAGAATTACAGAATTGTTTAACATGTACATACCACCTCAGTTTATTGCACTTCATACGATTCCAAAATTTTATATTTAATTCTCTCACTTCTTTCAATCTTACATCAACTCTCAAATAATTTTCTCGTGCTCTTACACCAGCTGCTTTTCTTTAAAAAGTAGACCTGATATGGAAGTATCAATTCCGTATGATGTTTGGAAGTAGTACCGGTATAATAGCAGTTTTTTTTAACTCGTATATTAATATTCATACCTTTCATATTCATTATTCGTATGAATAATAGTATTCATAGATTCACCACTTTGCTTTTCTCTCACTCATCCTCTTTTATATTTTACGTTCCATGTTGCCATTTTTATCTAACACTGCCTCAAAATATTTAAACTTACTAACTAAACTTCCCCAGCAAATAACTGCTGGGGAAGATGGGAGCTGTCCTAAACACAGCTGCTACTGATACACAGTACAGTATTTCATTCCTACATTGTTTGTAAATTGTTCAAAGAACTTAACACAGGTTAAAACTTCAGTCTACAGGACAGCTACAGTGCCTGATAATTTCCAGATAATACTTTCCCCTTACTAATTTATTATTTACTTAAATTATTCAAACGTAAGAAATACTTACTGAAGGCATCAATGTGTATGCAATAAAGCTCTTCATTCCATGGAATTTTGACTCTTTTTTGGGGGAGGATATGGCACATGTAAACTCATGGGGGTTTGGCCTCCACACTGGTCCATTCCCATAATCTTCCACAAACACTTTATCTTTCTCATCCACAGATGCTTTACCTGCTCCTAATGAATACAATGGAAGAACTCAGAGTTAATAAAGTACCAGTACATACATGCAAATATAAAATAAATACTGTTCTAATAAATGCACACTATAAATGCTATGCAGATATTCTTTTCAATGGGAAGATTATGAAATTGTATCTGCCATGCTTCAATCTTCCAAATTTTCACCTTGCTTAACAACAGAGCTTTATTTAGTAATTAACAAGAGAAAGATTATCTGTTAAATGATGTTTTGTCTACATTATTTGCCCATATATGAAGAGACTCCTATCCTGCACAGTTGTCAGAGCCATAAAAGTGATGTTAGAATTGAGAACGAAGCAACTTCGTTGTAGAAACGAATAAGACTTTAGTAGAGAAGAGAGATCTATTTGAAAAAATGTATAATTTAACATGCACCTTAAGTCCTGTAAACCAGGGCAAAATATTGGAGGTGTGGCAACAGTGATCAATGTTAATAAGAGCAAGCAATTCACAAAAAAAAAACTATTATTTTACAAATTAAGAACCCACTGTTACCTAAGCTGGCTTTATGCCATTAAGTAAAGCTTGTATCAACCTGTCCTCTCGAATAGAACATCGCATTCTGATTGTAAAATCCCCAACGGTCAAAATGTGGTGTTTTATAAATCATAACAGTTCGCAAAATTGACAGGTTGTCCTGTTTTTTTCTATTCATGGGTCTATGGTTAGGTTAGTGATGTGACAACTAAGAGGATCTTGGGCTGCATACACAGTGCTAGAAATAGTGTGGTATGATTCATTATGTAAGCATCACTAAGTCAGTCTATAAATGACCATTGTTGTAACATCTTAATTTGTTCTGGAGGGAAACACATTGTTCACAAACCTTCTGAAATGTGTTCACATTGGTACAACAGAAACCATGGTCAAAGTGTTGGTGGGGCAGTGGTTGCACAGGGAAGGGACTAGTCTGGATCAATAACTTGAAGGGTAGAACCACATACACTGTTGACTTCTCTAGGCTAACGTTAATCCACCAATATGGTCACACTAGGCACTATGATCATTTGATGGTACCAGCACACAACAAGTGCAAAGTCTGCCCAAAGGCGAACACATGGTGCAATTTTCGCATCATAGTGTGGAAAACAGGAGGAACTTAGGTTTTTGGGATCTTTATATATATAGAGGTATCTTGTAGCCAAAAAGTCAATGTGCATTCAGGAAGAGTAAAGGAAAGTGGGGGAGCAATAGGCAGAAAGAAGGGAAGCACATGTTCACTCTGTGATCTTGCATTAATGTCGATGGTGAAGTGAATACCTGTCCACTGTTTAACCCCAGCACTATATCACTGTTTATAACTGATATACCCTCAATGCAAAGGAAGAAAAATTTACAAAAATTTGCAGATGTGGCTGAAGATATGATGCCCAAGCCTCACATCAGAAGATGAAGAAACGATTATGTTTCAGTCCATCCTGGACCATTATCAAATCATGTGTTAAGGAGGGAGGGAAGGTACAGGCCAATAAATAAGGAGAGTGTGAGGTGAGGATCAGGTAAAAGAAGGAGATTTCTAGGTGGTGGTAAGGTGAGGAACAGGTTAGAGAAGAAGGTACAATAATTCCTAGAAGGTAAGAGAAAGGTGAAAGGCAAGAATAGGATGAAAGGTACGAAAAGGATGAGTGTAATCATGAGAAAAATGAAAAATGAGAATAAGAGGAGGGTAAGAAGGCAGTAGGCTTCAGTCACGTCACATTTGTTAAGAAGGTTAGAGCATTTAAGTATGTACTGAGAAAGGGAACAGTCAACAGGAAAGTCAACAGGCAGGAACAATTAATTTTTTCTGCCTCTATGTGATGCCATCTTGTTGAATTGGCTCTGATACACAAAATACCCAACACAAACCTTAGTCCTGGTTTTGTTCCTGTTGACTGTTCCCTTCTCACAGTGAGGGGAAGAGTCTTTTAGTTAATTTTCTCAAATTAACTAAAAAATGAAAGGGAACTACAAACATTTAATAATGGGTAAAAACCATAAAGGTAAATCAATGAAAGGTAGCATACCTAATTAAAAATACAAATGAGCATTATTAATTCCAAAAATACTTGCAAATGCATAACTTATAAAATTTCAAAGTATATACCTCAGCACTTAAAAATTATCTGGGAAAACCCTGTATGGTTCCCAGAAGCCTGAGTCAAAGCAATGGAATATTTATACAATTTTTTTTTTACTTTATCAATATACAAGTACCTGTATATACAATAATATAATTAGTAATCATAGTCAAACTATAATGTTTAACTATGTAAAGAGTTAAGCTGCAATGTTAATGAAGTGCAGAAACATGTTACTAGGAAACTTTGAGGTTCATAAGAATCTAGTTTTTTTTTTTTACTCATAATACAATACTCTGTACTTAAAATTTAATGACTATAACATTAACTGAAATGAAACATTTTAAGGAATATCATGCAATAAATTTACAATGCATTTGTCATCTTATATTAAACTGACATCAACACCTGTAAACGAATGTGAAGGGGTTCTAACCAAGAGCTAAATCATCCAAGATCTGAAAAGCTTCTATACTATTACAGACCCCGTGTAGAGGCAATCCCTTGTATAGTTTATTATAAAGATTGGGGGCATGCTTCATTTAGTCTAATCTAGATTAACTACAAATAATATCAGTCGAGACACTAGTGAGTTCTAAGCACACAACTGGTTTATGCTGGAGTGATGATCATACCTGGAATCTTGTTAAATAATGCCTCATTAAAATGAACAAACTATGTAGATTAAATACAATACACTGGGCATTTTTAAGTTTAGCCCCCAACCTCAAAATAATTAGAAAATGATAGAAACAATTAGGCGAGTGTAGACATGCGGTACAAAGAACTACGAATGAAGAATACTTGGTTGGAAGGTCTAAAATGGGTTGTGGGTGTAGTAGTACACAACTGATTTAATTATTAGCACTTTCTGACAAGATATCACACGAGCACGATCTCTCTCTCTCTCTATCTCCCTGCTTACCTTTATATATATTTTTACAAAATTACCAGTCACTTGTCACTTGAAAGTTCCATGCACTTCATTTAAGCACCTGAATGAGTGCTATTAAGAAGACAAATTTTATTATCATAATGTTTTACATAAAGCGTTTTTACATTTTGTATATAGTTTATGATTTTTTAAATAGTAACACTACTCTTAAAATAAATAACAATACAAACACCTACCTTTCCTTTTACTCTGGTAAATGCCTTTCTACCTCTGAATAGTAAACTCGGCCACTCTCTTAAGGCAAGATTATGTTGATCCTGTGGTTAGCATCTCATGCAGTCAGGTTATGGTTGACATTCTGCACTGCCATTTCAGACTGCTTTTCTAACTATCTTTGTTGGGTCGTACTGGTGCCAGACTCACTATACAATTTACTTAATCTGGTATTGTCAATACTTAATATAATGAACTTTGTCAATACTTAATCAGACACACCCACAAAATACATTCAAACAAAACTCAAGAGTCTTTCCAAGTGCTACTTGGCATCAGCTGGAATGTCAGTCCCACTGTTAACTACAGAATGGCCTAATTGGTTATTAACCCCTGCACTGCGTACCTGGTTTCGGCAAAAACTTCTTGGGGCAATTGTCAAGGACATATTCTTGTTGTTTACATAAATATTCAGGTAAATTTAATGTCAAAGTGTTTCCAAACTCAACTATTTTCATTTAAAAACACAAAGAGTAATGAAAACATTAAAAAACATTAAAATATAGCCTAATTAAAAAAAAAATAGCACAACTCTCAGAGCGCCTAAAGGCGCTTTGCGCAGTGTAGGGGTTAACCTTCCCCACCACCAGGTGGCAGCATGACAATGACACTCCGACAGTATTTCCTAATCCAAGCAACTTACATTCAACATGGCCTGATGACTGCCTAAAAATATGGGGCCCCCTGCCCAGATGGCAAAGGATGCGACACTAGCAGAGCAAAACGCATGTAGCCAATTCAACCTAGGGCACAACCTGAGTTGTTGGCAGTCAAGTGCACCACATTTACATCCCTAGACAAAGGGTTGATAGGACACTGATAAATAATTATTTGCCCTTGTTCAGTCAGCAGTAATTAGGACCCGGTTGTAAACCAATTTGTGGTTCAGATTCCAAAGAAAACTAGCATGTAAAGCTAAAGATGAATTATGGAAGGAAAAATTCAAAGTCTGGCAATATGAGTCAGAAGTTGTTTACTACCCACCTGGGGAAGAAGAGTGAAAACAAAAGCAAAACAAAAAACACAGGATATTTAACCCCAAAGACAACACTCATTTGCATTGTTCACCTTAGGGTTCCTAATTTCATTCACTTGTTTTGTTTTGCCTGTTCTGGCAAGAATTCCTTAGTTAAGGGTGACCTTTGATCCCCAAGCTTCCCTTACCTTATAGAATGAACCAGACACTGGCTTTGGCTTCCAATAGGCAAGCATGGGTCGCAGAGGGCTGGCGTGATTAAGGTAAGGCTTGACAGTGCCAGTGTAAAAGCTAGGGGGACCTTCCCAGGGGAGCCCCTACCTTGAGGCTACCTTGAGGTGCTTCCGGGGCTTAGTGTCCCCGCGGCCCGGTCGTCGACCAGGCCTCCTGGTTGCTGGACTGATCAACCAGGCTGTTAGACGCGGCTGCTCGCAGCCTGACGTATGAGTCACAGCCTGGTTGATCAGGTATCCTTTGGAGGTGCTTATCCAGTTCTCTACCAGAACTGGATAAGCTCTTATCTTATCCAGTATCCCTACCAAAACATTATTTCTAATTTTAATAGTAAATTTAACATAATAAAAAAGCAGAACTCTATCTGAAGTCAGAAGTGTAGAATGATGTTTAAGCAAACTATCTACTATAAATAGCTCATGTTTTGTTGAGGATGCACTACCCCAACAGGAATCTGTATACATGTATTACATAATAAAACAAAAAAATGCTTGTAGCATCTTAATTGCTCATAGGAGTGTCTTTTCCCCTCTCTATACTTACCTACAAGGAAGTCTTCAACACCACTTTTTGCTAAGTTTGAGAAACGGTTGAAGCTCTTTCTGACTGTTCCTCGGCCATCTCGACCTGTTGTCCATCAACCACCAAAACAATAAAATATGCTATAATCAACCTAAATGATCCTCAAGCATTGTGTCTCTTGAGTCTATCCAACTCTTATTTTAACTGAGAAAAACTAGAGTAGATTTTGTTTGAGGGTCATTTTCTTTTAAACACACTACTACTGTATTATTAACAGATTGGATTAATTAGACAAGCATGATGCACTATATTTTTTTATGTTATTGTGCTTAGAAAAAAAAAATTAGCAGAGTACACAGTACAAACATTAAATAGGTGTTCACATAAAGTTAGGATTCTCTCTTTTGGGTGGTGATACAATTTGGCAAGTTATGTCATTAAAGGATAATAAGGAAGTTATTTAAGGCTCAAGATAAAAACAAAGATAAAAGCTCATTTTGTTATAAATGATAAAGTGCTATGGAAAAAAACTGTAACTGGAAGGCAATATAAATAATACAGGAAAAAGTCATGGGAAGCTGAACAAAATCCAACATATTGGAAAGTTAATCTGGACTGTAATGGTACAAAACACTGTCTAAGAGGTTCTTTTACAATGTGCATTTTATGCAATGATTATAGACACAGTACTGTACTGTGACTAATGACTCCTTGCTCTACACTATTGAGACAATGCTATTAACCTTTTGATGCTTTATACCCTCTGAGAGGGTGGCCTTACTGAGTATCTTCTCAAATTATATAGCCAGCTTCAAAGTGAAAATAAACATGTTCTCATGAACAAAAAAGCATTTACTAGCCGCCGAGAAAAAATTGTGTGGAAATAACGAAGATTCTACACAAAGCACAAATCTATAAGGGTACAAGGGTAAAAACATGAAGCATGGAAAACCCAGTGAGATGACAATGTGTATATTAAGGAAATGTAGCCTCACCATTAGTTTAAGATGACTAAACTATCCCAGAATACTCTCCTCAATCTTGCAGTTAATTTACTTTCGCGCTCCACTTCTCTGCATATTTTCACTCCTTACTCTATTTATTCCCCCTAACACTACAACCTGTTCTCCTAATAGAATGTACCATTTTGACGTATACTTTACCTAAGGCCAAAAATTGTCATACTGTACTAGAAAATGGTAGCAGTTCGCAAAATTGACATGTCCAGCTTTCTGTTTTGGGTCCTCTGGTAAGGCAAGAATAAGGGCACTCTAGTACGACAGTTTCATGACATGGTGAAATCTTAGGACGGACTGAACACTATACATGCTCTTCTCTGATTACCAAGTTCTACTGCTTTAGTGTTTAAATTTTCACATTCTTGCAACACTATTGTCTCAACTACACAAAGTCAGTGCTGTAACTCTTTCATGCACTTCCCTGGCTTCATCTGTTAATTTGTTTTTTGTAATCAGAGCTTTAATTCCACCAGCCACTATTTTTCCTGACTACTCTCAACTTTGACTGTGCAAACTCTTCACTTGTTATAGCTAGATTTCACTGCAGGATGAGATGATGTGAGCAAAAAAGCACAGAAACATATAAGAGTAAATGCAAAACCAATCCAAAGAAAACCAACAACATAAGCGTGAACTGTATCTATAAAACACCAACCAGTAGTCACAAACCATTACGTATCCACCTAGTAGCACACCAACTAACAATCCACGATTCCACCACAATGCCCTCACACCAAACAATACCACCCTGCCTGCCCCAACTTTTAGTCCTGGTTCTGCACAACTCCTGATACCTTCTAAACCCCAGGAACCCAAACCACCACCACCCCAACCTCAGAATTCAGCTACCAAAAACTCTGCAAAGAGCTTTGGGGCTCTACACATGAACACACATGGTTTATATGGTATAAACAATAAGTAAAACAAGCTAAAATAAAAGGTGAAGGATGATAATACATAAACAGTCACCAACAAAACTTAGAAGTTGTATCAAGTAGTATTCCCAGTAAATAAAGGGACAGATCAATGAAGAGTGGAAGAGTTGATTGACAGATGTATACATTTATCTAGTGCCATAACAACAACGTTCTTGGTGCTAAATAAACACACATTGTTCTAACCTTTGGATTAGGTTTACAATCCAAACTCAACTTCCTAACAGAAAGAGTCCAAACAAATTTGTTTGAACTCTTGTATAGGAGTTATAGGAGACAGGGTTCTATAACCCAATAGGACCACAGCACTTATTTCTGGAGAATCAAACACTATCTCCTTCCTTTGACAAGAAAAAACCAGCATTGAATGTAATGAAAAGCAATTTTCTGGGTGAGACCCAAAGGCTCCCTGGAGCTATACCAGGCTGATGTGTATACATTAGACCGTGGCAACAGTCAATCGATGGAGTTCTAGGCCTACTGGAGACCACGAGCCAGAACCTGGCCCCCCTTCAGAGACACGAGGAGCAATGGCCTATAGACACCCCCATGTGGTAGGAAACATTCTATGTCTGCCATCTACCAGGTCAGGCATCCAGAAAGGTAGGAATCCCAAAACAAACTACAGCTGGTTAAACAGCTGTAAAGATTGGGGCATGCTTCATTTAGTCTAATCTAGATTAACTGTACAAATAACATCGAGCCGAGACACTAGTGAGTTTCGAACACACAACTGGTTTATGCTGGAGTGATGATCATAGCTGGAATCTTGCAAATAATTCCTCATTAAAATGAAAGCCGAACAAGCAAGCAGAATGCCCCAATCAGAAAACAAGCAAACAAGCATGATGTCACCACAGCAACCGTGCCACTGTCTGCACAACTCCTCCCTCCCTGGAAGGGGGAAGGGGCGGTCCCAGACCACCTATGCTGGCTACTCAACCCCAGTTCTGATGCTGTTGTGTTAGGTGGCAGTCAATCAACTCTGGCTCCAATCCTTGAGCAGTTCTGTGCCTTGAGCTGTTATGCTGAGGTGTGGTGGTGTGCAAGCCAGCTATTATTCCAGAGTACTGAGCCGCTGCATGCGCCTAGGGTTCCTTTCCCTAGGTGCCCTGTAAGTACTGTCCTTGCAGTTTGGGGTTACCTTCCACAAACTGTTCTGGGACTATCTCCGCAGGGTTCTTTTGCTGCTTGGTGACTGCCCGCCCTTGGGGTCAGCTGGGTTTTTTCCTACCCCCATTTGGCCTTGGGTAGGAGGTAGCAACGTTGCTGGCAGGGGCACAAGGTACTGTGCAGCTGTCTGATAATATGCATAATGGCCAGTTCTGTTCCTCCTAGAGATGTGCTTTTGTGGGGGTGTTTGTTTATTTATTTTTGTTTTGCCTGATGTGGCTGAACTTGTATGATTTTGGTGGCCTTCTGCTAGGTCGCAGTGATTACGTCACAGGGGTTCAGCATTTTGTTTGTTCGTTCGGTAGTTCTGGGATAACCAGTTAGCAGTACCTTGCCTGAGCTTCCCTTAACAGTCAGCCTAAGGGCCCTGGAAATACTCATTGGGGCTCATTGGTCCAATAGATGCATCTTCTGAGTCCCATCTCGCTTCGTATGAGTTTGAAGGTTACTGTCCCCTTGTCTCAGGGTGATACACATCGTCTTTGCTTCAGCCATGCTGCCTGTTGGGTCAATGACACCTTTGACCCGGAGTCCTGTGAGTTGTGTTCCTTGCTTGTACTCCAATTCACCCAGTCCACTGATATTGATATTCGGGTGCAAGCAGCTTCGGCGTTGCATGCGAGGTTTAGATTGCTGCAACGTGCTAGTTTGGTTGCCTTTCCGGGTGCCCTGCAGCTGCCCCGCTTTGGTTATAGCGACCTATACTTGGGGGTGTTGCACCACATGTACTATGTGCACATGGTGCACATGTAAACAGAAGAATGGGTTGGTATATGTGGAAAAACAATGCACACCATAGCTGGCATATTGACAACACAACCTTACTAAAGATTGAAGAAAAACAAACAATCTCAAGAGTACTAGTTCACCAGTCATTGAAAGCCTTGGAATAACCAAATGAACCCTTGATTTTAAGGACAAGAAAATTGTCACCGAGCCATACATATCCATACCAAGTAACCTATGGTATCTCTAACCTTTGAAGCCATAGAAGCCAAGTCAGTGCTACAGTTTAAAAGTAAACAAGGAAACTTGCCATGAAGAATGCTGCAACCTTCCAAAACCCACCAACAAACACCACGGCCACTATTGAACACCAGGTAAACTCATGCAATAGGTATGCAAAGACCTGGAGAAGCAAGGACAGCTGTGGTGGTTCTATAACCCACTAAAATTTATAAATAATACATAGGCATACAGCTGCTACAGCATAGGTATAGCCCAAACTATTTCACAACCACAAAAAAAAACCTGGCGAATGATCAAGGATCAGTTTAAAATTCTAAACATAAATGAGGTTAATTAAAGATGAAATCTCATGTAAAATGAGTATAAATTGTGCTTTTAAAAGGAGTGTTACATACAATTCTTTTGTACAGTAACAAAATATTAAGGGGAGCCGGTCGGCTGAGCGGACAGCATGCTGGACTTGTGATCCTGTGGTCCTGGGTTCGATTCCGGGCGCCGGCGAGAAACAATGGGTAGAATTTCTTTCACCCTATGCACCTGTTACCTAGCAGTACAATAGGTACCTGGGTGTTAGTCAGCTGTCACGGGCTGCTTCCTGGGGGTGGAGGCCTGGTCGAGGACCGGGCCGCAGGGACACTAAAGCCCCGAAATCATCTCAAGATAACCTCAAGATAAAAGAATGATGCAAAAACCAAGAAAGTATAGCCAGTGAAGATAGCTTCTAGAGATGGTGTATGAAGTTCAAGAAATAAATCAGTACTATCAATGTACTAACAAGGGTGCAGAAAGCCAGTAGACGGAATACAAGAATAGAAAGAGTGGTTGCTAGAAAAGTGAACGACAAAGTGCTATGGTATTACAGTACTTTCACGTTGGGAATTTAGACTAGGGCCAAGCACCATGCTCTCACCTAAACACAATTTGCCAACAGTTTTACATCCAGGTCCCCAAGTCCTACCAGGTGCACTAGGGTAAATGGAGTGAAAATATGATGCCCAATCATCTGACTCAGCCTAGGATGTAAACCCAGTTGTAAGGCAAATGTGCTTACCACTACACCACAGGGTGCAACTAAAGATGAAATTTGAGAAGAAGAATAGGCTGAGGAATAAACTGATGAGTCAACAAGTGTGAATTTATGTTTCTGTGATGGATATCTAAGAGATACATTCTTTTTAGCACCTTTTATAAGTAAGAAATAAATCCAAGTTCAGTCCACTTTATCATTAACCGTGGAACATGTGAACAACACACACAGCTTATGTGTGCGTAACTTGCATCACCATAGTTCAAAAGACATAAGAAAAAGACTTAAAGTTTTAAAATCAACATTAGTTTGTACTGTATATATTCAAGTTAGTTTTCAAGCTTAACATTAATTGTTAAGATTATCTTTACATGTCTAAATAATCCAAATCCAGAAAATTTACTGTCATGGCATTCTTGACAATATTCAAATAGCTATTAATACATTCACACAAAAAAAAACTACATCACTAACAATATTTATAACAAATATAAACTACAGTAATTCTTTTAACAAAAGTGATCAGGCATATAAATCAATCTGCACAAGACTTTAGATCATGAGCACAACAATCACATATTATTACTACATGCAACACATTTTTCTACAGTTTAACAAACCTGCTGTGCTAACATCTCCCACACTGCTTGATGTTTTGGCAGCACGATTTGGTGCAGATAACCCAAAGGTTCCTGCACCATTGAGGTAGTTGTTTCCTGGCTCGGAATCATCATCATCCCAGTCATCATCCCAATCATCATTATCGTAACTCATCTGTAACAAATCATTAAATGCTCATCACACATTTATGGTTATATCTATGCAGAACAATATCAAGGGCTGAAAAATAATGAGTTTTATTCCTTCAACATCAACTGATGTTGATGTACATCAGATGTACAGTGATGTACTTTTTGATGCAAAGTGAGCTTGACACACTACACGACAAAAATATCTTGTGAAACACTCAAATCCTGTACAGAAATTTGTGTTTGTTGCTCAGATAAAGTGCAGAATATAGTAAGGGCAAAGAGTCAGGCTGTTGGCTGTTTGCATCTCAAGAGCAAAGTTGCTAAAATGTAAACAAGGGGAGACCAAGAACATCCTGTCTGCTTGTTTTTCTTCAAGTCACAATTCTTAATTGTCACATACACAGCATTGGTATGCAACATATTTAAAAAAAAGAATTCACTAAATGCATTTAAAATACTGCACTATACAGTGGAATTTTGGTTTACAAATTTTTCAGTTGCGAGCTCAATTTCTTCGAAAAATTTTACTCAGTTTACGAGCTTTGCCTCGCTTGGCAAGTTTCTCGATATACGTATGGGTCGACCGAGCACGTGGTTCCTGGTGGCACCACGTTTAGTTAGTGTCTTCCGCCTAGTGACGATCGCACTTGAATTCTTTGTAAAGAATTTCATTGTTTTTGTGAGGATGACGACAGAGGAAATGGAAAGAAATGTGAGGATGACGACAGGAAAAACAAGAGATCACTTGTAAACATGAAAATGGTATGAGGGTGGTTGTACTAGCTAGGCTGGATAGTGATGATGTGGAGTTGGAAGAGGAACACAGCAAAGAACTGACCACCGACGAATGTCTAGTCCTTCACAAGAGACGGCTGAGGAAATTTCTTTAAGAGAGGAGGAGGAGACAGAAGAGGATGATCCTTCCCCATTAATTAAGAAAATGTGTGCAGTGTGGGAAGAACTGCAAAGTTTTGCTGAAAAGGGTCGCCCAGATAAAACTGTAGCAGGCCATTGCATTAACCATTTTAATGGCAATGTGATGTCTCACTACAGACAAGTGTTAAAACATAGGGAAAAACTAGTGTCTATAGACATTAGTAAAATAAGAAAGCACTCACAACCAGATCCTAGTGTTATGCCTGCAAAACATAGGAGAGAGAGTACCCCATAGAAGTTATCACTGCCTGATGTTATAATGGAAGGGGACTGACTCCCCTTCCAAACAGTAACACCTCTCTTCCTCCTCACCGTCTTCCATACACCAACAAGTTATCAATAAAGGTAAGATATAACTTGACATACTGTAGTACAAAATATTTGTAGTACTGTATTATGTATGAAATTAATTTTGAAGTGAATATTTTTGGGAGTGTGGAACGGATTAATTTAATTTACATTATTTCTTATGGGAAAATTTGTTTCAGTTTACGAATTTTCGGTTTACGAACCATCTCTGGGATCTGATTAAATTCGTAAATGGAGGTATCACTGTACTACTGATAAAAACCGACAGTTTACTATATCAATTCATACAATATTTACAAAATTTTTGTACTTTATTTTTTTGCTTCAGAACTTTTTCAGGGGTTATTTTTTCTTGACTTCATTTGAACACATATTGACCTACAACTTTCACATATTCAAGTACGAATGACAAACAATATTTATTAAAACATACAATTAAATTAACAAATTAAAACTACCTTTATTCATTGTTGATAACTTCAACTTCAATTATCTCTGAAACTAGAGTTTCAACTTTGAGTGGCTTCTAAAATTCAAGTTTTTGACCGATTCTCACTATTTTGACATTGTGTGCTCAGCTGTCTGTTCTATAATCCCTTTAGAATGGATTTTTCATAAACTTTACACATTTGGAGTTATAATTTTTTTTAGTTTAAATTTGCCGCATATTTCAAATGCCTTATTGACGATTTTTTTTTACAGTAAACTATACTGAAAACCTATACTCTAATTTGATGAAAATGAAGATCATATGCTATTCTGAGAGAATAATAACTTTAAATGAACAATTGGTAATAGTACTTATTTTTTATTCTGAATTGAAAATCTGAAGTTTTCAATATTCATTTTTAAAATTAATTTTGATTCTCTTGTTTTTCAATTTATGCTGTGATCATTTAGACAAAGTTGGAGCATTTGCCTAAATGATTATGCAAAAAAAACTGGAAAGTGTGCAAGTTTTAAAAACTTATGTTAAATTATGTTATGTCAAATCGTATATGTATGTCTGTATTGCGCTGTTGAAGAGTTAACAAGCTGACTAATTTCTTGGTACCTATTTAATGCTAGGTGAACAGAGGTTTTTATCACATTAAAATGGAAATGGGGTATTGATAATAAAGATGACAAAACTAAAATAAATTAACAAACCTGCTGTGATACTGGTCGCTTTTGAGCATTTGCATTGAAGCCTGTACTGGTTGTATGGTCCTGTTGTGTATTAAAATTATCTCCCCCACTCTCACCACCAACATTGGCATATTCGGTGGGCAAAGGGGGTGGAGGCATTGGAGGGGGGGCAGTTGCTGTAACTTCCTGTGGGTGTAGGAAATTTATTATTATGATGATGCTAAACAAAATTACATACTTTATAATTAATTTATGTCTGACAAAATATCAAGACACAATATCATAATCTTATTACGAGTTTAATTTAGCACGCTCCTATATAAAATGCCTAATTACTTAATTATAACAGCACAGCACTGTGCTAGTTTTATCTTATATTGTGTTCCTTCTGAAAAGTCTATTTCCATGAGAAGGTGGCATCAAGACATATCATGTGACATAAGTGTTAGAAACGGATTTTAAAGAAAAAATATTTGTTAGACAATTTGACAGCAATTGTACTAGTTTGACCATCACCCTAGTAAAGCAGTTGCCACTTGCATCAAGAAACAAGAATATGTAGAAAATGTGTTTGCCAAGACAAGCTAAACTAAACAGCACAACTAGGCGAGTACTACCTGCCTAGCTGTTGATTACAGTATTTTGGGGATCAGCGTCCCCGTGGCCTGGTCAGAGTAAAAATTATTTTACTAAGTAATTTTACGAGTAAATAATTTTACTAGTGTAAAAATTAATGGAAAAACTAAGAAAATGGACTGGCACAAGACAGACAGCAAGGAGAACAACAGTGTTCATATGGATGCTGAGGATCTGTACCAAGTACAGTACTGGAACTATGGGGGGTGTAGCCTACACACATTAAACATTCATATCTTCCCTATGTAATTTTGTAACCTTTACAATAATAAATAAAAGTAGTGTACAAAAGATGAATCACTGTCATCATTACAAAGTCCTCCAATATTAATCAAACAATAGTCAGATTTTTCTCTCTCTTCCATGGTTTGTCAGTATGTAATTTCCTGTCTGTAGTTACAGGATGGCAAACTTACCATTTTTATTTTTGTAATTTATTTATATATAGAAGAGTTGTTACATTCTTAACAACTCGAGGAGCCGGTGGCTGAGCGGACAGAACACTGGGCGCGTGATTCTGTGGTCCCGGGTTCGATCCCGGGCGCCGGCGAGAAATGATGGGCAAAGTTTCTTTCACCCTGATGCCCCTGTTACCTAACAGTAAATAGGTACCTGGGAGTTAGTCAGCTGTCACGGGCTGCTTCCTGAGGGTGGAGGCCTGGTTGAGGACTGGGCCGCGGGGACACTAAAGCCCCGAAATCATCTCAAGATAACCTTCTTGTACAGCCACTAGCATGCATAGCATTTCAGTTGTTCTTAATTCTAATTTTCCTCGGACTGCGACCTGCCAAATCGTTTAACAACCAGGTACCCATTCACTACTGGGTGAACAGAGGCTACGGTTAGGATTGGCACCCACTAAATCCTTCCCAGCCAAGAAACGAACACAGGACAAAGCATTCGCAAAATGTCAGGCGAGTGTCTTACCACTTCGCCATGGGGACTTTTATATAGAGGAGTTCTTACATTTTTGTAAAGACATTAGCACGCAATGTGTTTCAGGCAGGTCATTGATCTTAACTTTCCCTGGAATAGGATCCACCAAATCGTTTAAGAACCAAGTACCCATTCACTGCTGGGTGAACAGAGGTATACAGTTAAGAGATTGGCACCTAGTCAATCCTCCCTGGCCAGGATATGAACCCAGGTCAGATCGTTCGTAAAGTGTGGGGGGAGTGTCTTACCACTGCACCACGGGGATGATGATGATGCATACCTGGTTGATACCTGGTTGATGGGGTTCTGGGAGTTCTTCTACTCCCCAAGCCTCCCCAAGCATCTTTCTTAAACTAGTACACTTTATTTTATCATAATTTACTTTGGATTTTGCTGTTGCTTTTGATCCAATTATTGAACTAAGTTTATTTTTATTTTTAATTTATTATTATTAACATCTTTATTGACAAAATTCTATTTCAGAAAGGAGTTTCCTTATGCTTTTAATACGTATTTCTCTGCTGCCTTATTTTGAACCTACGTCTTCTTCTTCTATTCACTGCTTATCAAAAGATCTTTCCCATGTATCTTCTCTGACTGGGGCTACCTTACCTTGAGGCGAGGTGATTTCGGGGCTTAGCGACCCCGCGGCCCAGTCATTGAGCAGGCCTCCTATCTACAACTACAGTACATGGTTAGCACAGTTGTCTCATTGGTGAGCAAACCTGGTTTCAATTCTGAGCACCATTATTTCACTCAACCTTTGTACCCATTAAATAGGAACCTGAATGTATAATAAAACAATAGGTGGCTTTAACTGTTTTGATCTGATCTACTGGACATAAATTGTGAAAGTCATGTGTTGGATATTTATGTGATTGCAATGTTTTCTTGAGTGTGGATAATACCTCTGTTGTTTACATTACCCAGGGAGCATCATAAGGTGGTAAACAGTATGATTTGCTCCCCACAGCGTAATAGTGGCTTTAGGCATTGTATGTACTAGCCCTAACTATAAATCCATCACTCTTTGTAAAATCTCTTTTATGTATGTACCTTACCTAAATAAACATTTTTATTTTTTTTATTTTTTTTGAACATTGAATGTAAATTTAAAGTAAATTTTATGGCATAAGTTTTCTCCCTGGGATCAAACAAGACTACTAACTGAGGCCTCTGCCTTACTCCAGCTAAATGACCTAATACTTTTAGCTGCTAATAGATGGAAGTGCCATACTCTCATTTTAAGAGAGTATCACTATACACTATGAAGTCCACTATTATTTTGATTATACTGTACTATGTACAAGACAAAAATTCATTTACATAAATATTTTCAAGACAACCATGAAAAGGTGGTGGAACAAAATTTTAATTGCACTGACCTCAACGTATGCAGCAGGGAAAAGTCCAGCCTGACCTTGAGAGTTGGAACCTTCCCACCAGCCTTCTCCAACATCTTGCCGAGTAACACTGAGTATCTCTCCTTCTTTGATACTCAACTCACCAGTTCCAGGCTGAGAGTCAAAGTCATACAACACCCGCACCTACAGACGAAATATTTATAAGAAATCATGAGTACAGTACCTGTATTCTAAAGTTCATCTTTTGAATGCAGAGTGTACAGCAAAGAATGCATGTTTCACATTGCCAGAGGCAGTAAAAAGGGCTTTGTTTGTATGTCTATCACTTTCATAAAGAATCTAAGATTTATTCTAAGGAAATGGATCAAATTCTACCAATCTTTGCAAAGATTTCTATTGCAGCAACCAAGTTCTTCCAACAGAAGAACTTCAAAAATATATTTAAAATTTAACTTGGATTTTTCGAAGATGCCAAAAATTAGTAGTGTATTCAAAAACCAAAGAAATGGACAGCATTGCAGTTTATTTCAAAATATGTAAATCTCTTAAGTTTGTCACCGTTTGGGATTTTTTGTTTCTTTTACTACATTCATGGGAAATACATTTCTATAATGAAATCGATGCAAAATTTCTTTCACTTGACCATAAGTCAGACTGGATTGACAAATCTGGGTTTACTTGCAGCTGAATATGAATACAGAATGCATACAAAATAAATTTTGATGAGGTAATTTATTTATTTTCAGAAATTATGGTTTGAAAGACTATAAATCCTCTCTTACTTACATTTGAAGCATAGCCTGAACATTGAAACTGGATTTCCCGTTTTTTTTTTATAAAAAAAAATGCAATATTACCTGTTCAAGTTTTTAATATCCTGCATTTTCTTATTCCACTTTGCTTATGAGAGAGTAAAAAACTACTGTACTTACAAACATAATACTGTTTGTAATAATACTGTATACATATGTTTCAGTGTTTAAAATTTTATATTAGCTATGAGAGGGGTGTAAAATATTTTAGGTACACCCCTGCATAGGGGGTCATCCCTACTCCTGGGTAATTAATTAAAACTTTGAGCCTACAGAAGAATACCTAACTGCAAGTGTCTAATGCTTTCTGGTGTAATCCAGCAAAATGGGAACACAAGTATTTGTAACGAAGATGATGTAACAGATTTTAAAATCTACCTGACGTCCCAATAAAAAAGAAAAAGAAAAAAAAGGTGTGTAAAAATTAGTGTGTAATTTGACCATGCCCACAAATATCATTAATATAAAAAATGGTCCAGTGTGTTATCCAATGACCTCACAGTGATATCACACAACTTGCACACAGTATATATATAAAATAAGTACAAACATCCACTAGACAGTGTGATACTGTATTTGTCAGAGTAAGACTGGGATGTTGATATTTCTGGCAGGTGGGTGCAGGCAATGAATCCCACAATGCTGAACAGTCCAATTGTAAACTATGTGAACACAACACTTCAAAACTATATTTGTTATCACTATATATCGACTGAGCTACGACATGGTCAAAAAGAGTTGAAACCGAAGTTCTACTGAACTTACTGGACCCTGCAGCCTCTCCGAGACACAAACCAGGGTTTTACACAACTCCCCCCCATACACTCGAGCTATGTCCATAGGCCGTTCGCCCTCTTTGCCCTTACTTCATTACACTGTGATTGCCCTGTTATCATTTGTTCTAGACCAAATAGCGAGAGAAAGATTTTGAGCTCTGTAACTACTTCATACACTCACGAATATGGGAAGATATTCCTGTGCTCGACCCAGAGCTTGCTAGTGCAAGCTAGACTAGACTAGACTCACATCTCATGTTTTCTCCTGATTCCTTGTATGACTAACCATCCTGTGAGATGGGGATACATATTAAAATGATCTCGTCACAATTTCTATAATAATAATAATAGTGTATTTGCAAGGAGGTACAATGGGTTGGCAAAATTACATAAGACTGGTATTTTTACATTCATGCACAGCCACCATCAAGCATACCGTTAGTGATCTACTAGTGTGAAAATTAGGATTAAGGACTTGCCCGAAACACTATGCGTGCTAGAGGCTGTACAAGAATGTAAGGACTCTTGTACAAATAAATAAAAAAAAAAATTAGTGATTCTGATCTACACACTGTAATGCAAAGAATATGGCAGCAGCTCATTCTGTGTATTCCTAACCTTGCAAACAAACAATAAATATTCAGTTTGGGCACGTTAGGCTAGAATAAGTATATATATCAAGATTAATACCGAGAGGGTAGTATAACTTGGGGCCTTTAGTGGACACTCAACAAATAATCCTTATTTCTGGGTGACAGCTAAGAGCAGCTTGTGGGGTGGCTTATAACCTCTTTTCTTAATATGTTTTCATTGTTTCACTCTGGCCTGTATGATGGACTAGTCTTGTAGTTTTGTTTCATTGTTGCACTCTGCCCTCTGTAGTAGGCTTAAGCCTTGTTTCACTCTAGCCACTAACAAAAAGAATCACAACCTATCAACGAATTGAATGGCATGCAAGGCACTTGATCACTCATGCCTGACAGTGTACCAGTGCCCCCCCGAGGCACTCGAGACGCACTCCACAAGAGACACTTCACTTACTCGGGCCTGACTGTCACTCGCGCCACCAACCAGGTAGTTTGAAATCCTCCCTTCAAATAGCATCATTAACCCCGTTTCTCCGCTCCCAATCAACGCCTCAAGCCTTCACGGAGCCTGACGGCAGCAACCCCCCCGGAGCTAGCACCCTGCAGGGCGGATCCTGCCAGGAAATAGGCAAGGAAAACCGGAGGCGGAGGACCTACCCACCTGCACCGTCGCCATGTTTACTGTTGTGTCATGGCGTGACGTCACGTCCGCGCCTCCCGTCACTCCCCGCACACCGCCTTATTTTCCCTTTCTATTTCCTCAACGTCACGCCCTCCTCAAGGGTAATTTTCCCTGGTCTCTTAACGCAGGTTTAAGGAACGCATGTGGCGGGGGGGTCTGATGATATGGTGCCCAGATAACAGATATTGGGGAGTATGGAGACAAGTCGTGATAGCCTTGGTGGGCTCAAGTGTGTCCGAGTATGAGTCATGTACAATCTATCTTACGACACCCGTGAATAACACAACCTTCCCACTATGTTCTTCATATATAATAATCAATATATATACACACATATATAGAGATAGATAGAAAGATATAGATATAGATAGTTAAATATGACCGCATTGCTGGGGTTGTTGATCTTATAGTGTGTAGGCTTTATTTGCTTCCATTTATTTTTCAGTATCAGTATTAAGAACAATCAAGTTACTAAAATTCATGGTACTGAAACTCTTGTAATTACTGAAGGCTTTATTTTCTATAACGTTTCGTTCCTCTCTGGAATATCTTCAGGTATAGTAGGTAAAGAATGCATACATACATGATTCAGCTACTCAGAACAAAAAGTTCCAGGAAGGTATGTAAATACATGAGGTACAATTTTGGGCTAAATACATATATTAAAGAGTCAAATGAGTATGGGGTGAGGTGATGGGGGGCAATCAAACATAAGGTAAAGGGACAGAGCCAATTAAACATAGGGTAAGGGGGATAGGGCCAAACATAGGGAATAGTACGGGGATAGGGCCAAACAAACATAGGGAATAGTACGGGGATAGGGCCAGGGCTAATCACACATTGGGTAAGGCACTGGGTAAAATTCTGGTACTCTCATTAGGCGGGATGAGGACCTCGAGACGTCATTATCCAGTGGTGTTTGGTGAGATCTGGCTCTGAGTGTTGGCAGGGAAGTGAAGTCATATTATTCTGTATATTTAAGGTGGGTCTTTTTTCGCATATTATAATTACAATATGAAATATATATATATATATATATATATATATATATATATATATATATATATATATATATATATATATATATATATATATATATATATATATATATATATATATAATATAAGTATGGCTTCCAGTGGTACCTGGTTGATGGGGTTCTGAGAGTTCTTCTATAAATATAATTTGAAAATAATTTTGAATCCCCCGGCCTTTCCAGCGAGAGATGGAGTAATTATTCACTCTGCTGCTAAGAGATCGTACATGAACAATATGACAGCATGGGGCCCCTAGAACTGTGGGGCCCCTAGAACTGTAGGGCCCCTAGAACTGTGGGCCCCTGGGAAGTGCCCAGTGCGACTATGTATTAAAACAACACTGTACAACCCTTTCTGCCTCTCAGAAAATTTAGTATTACGGAGCACTAAAAGAACTCTATGGTAAATACAATCAATATTTCAAGTTTGACTCTCGTTAAATGCAATTATTTTTTTTATATTGAGTACATTTGAGAGGTTGTGTATTGACTTACAATGTTGTTGTGTTGATTTAGGGGCGACGACGATCGTGGGATCGGATGCGCCCCGGCTGCCCGATATCGGGAAATAGCGGAGGGATGGGGTCCCTATAGTCTCTTCAGGCCATAGACCCTACAATCTCCTCAGGCGACAAATTTTACAGTCTCTTCAGGCCGCGGACATGACGGATGAAGCGGAAGGTATGGCGAAGGATGTCATGACGGATGTCATAACATATTCGAAGATTTAAGTAAGGGAGCCTAGTGTTGTCTGGGATTTTAATTTGTTATTATTCTAATTGCTAATTTGTGTTGAGTAATTAGGGTTCGTAGATAATTTTGGGTAGTAGAACCCCAGGCATAGTTACCATAGGTGAGATAAGGATAAATGAGCCAGTAATAGTGTTACCAGGGCAGGGCGAGGTACATAGTATTTGCTTTTAGAAAGTATACCAGCTGTTTTAAACTTTTTATTGCAATATTTAGTATATGGCACTGGAAATTCAACTTACTGTCATTGAGAACACCGAGGCATTTACCATCTACTCTGTAACTAATTTGAATTTTGTTCAGTCATAGATTAATTTGATCAGAGGATATATTACCAAACAAAATATAGAAGGTTTTATCAATGTTAAGGATGAGTTTGTTAGCAGTCAAAAATGGATCTTTTTAGTTCAGTATTCACTGTGTCATTCAGAATAACATTGCTAGGACTGGAAACAATGAAGGTTGTGTCATCAGAAACTAAAATTGACTTGAGGTGTTGAGAGGCATTTGGAAGATCATCCATGTAGATGAGAAAGAGAA